TAGGGTTCATGACAGAGTCCATTTTAATTATAGGGCTCAGGGTTTAGGGCGTTTTAATATCCCCGGATTTAGGGCTCATGGCAGAGTTTATTTTGATTATAGGGCTCAGGGTGAAGGGCTTAGGAACTCCAACACCTCAACCCGAGAATCTTTAGAGTTAAACGCGAAGTGCCAAAGCCCAGCGAGGCAAAAGCAGTGAATCCTAAACTCTGGACTCATGCACCCGAACCAGCGCCTCGACTCTGTGCTACTGCGATTACCATCGCCCCGAGCTTCAGGGATGCGCCTTTTGGGGTTCGGGGTTTAGGGTGTTCGAGTGAGTATCAGGCAAGGTTGAGGGATGTAGGAAGTCGTGTTCGGGGCTACCCGTACCAATAGATACTTCTTTGGTTGGCTGCTTTGATACAAGCAGTGACGAATCTTATCAGAGAGTAGAGCTCGGGTTGGTACCAGTACCAGGCTAAAACCTGTTGTGTTGGGCTGTGCATTTGATCCATGCTAGATTTTAGGGTGATAGGGTTGGATCATGAAGGACGCTTCGGGACGGGATGGGGAAGGACTGGACAAGTTATGGAGGAGCTCAACCATGGTTCCACAGAGACAAGACAGCCTCCAGATAGAACAGTCCTAGGTGCTCACGTTTGGTTTTCTGTCTGTTCCTGCTCTTGGACAATTAGTCAAAAGACTTGTTTACGGCATTTTACGGGTTGTAAGATAGTAAGATACCGATGACACTGATCCTCAACCCAAGGGCTGTTGCCATCTGCAAAGGGACCGTCCTGTGGAGACGAAGTGTTACAGTTGAGCTTCGAAACGCAAGGTAAGCTCTTGAAAGGACATCAGGAGCCAAAGGAGCACCCAAACATAAACTTTCGGGTGGGATATCCCTATCTTATGGCCTGTCTTGAAGAGGGGATTCTGGGATATCCCAACCTTATGTTTTTTGTTGAGGTCCTTGTCTGGGTCCCTAGGACAGACCCTGCAAGACAGTATAGAAGCATCAGCGGTTGTTAGTACTATGTTCCTGCTGATTACTTGCTATAGTTGTGCTTTCGAACTGTAATGCTTCCTATAGCTGTATTTCCATGTCCCCATACCCGAAAGCCCGTGCCTTGACTCTTACCTTCCAAACCCTAAACCCTAAAATGCTTAGAACCATGAATCCTAAACCATCCTAAAGCCCTCCTTCAACTTCAGTTCAACCTCTTGCTTGCCGTTTGGAGCTCATCTATCGCTGGGAGTGGAGCAGTCAGCTCCCAGCAGCGCAGGCAGACAAAAAACAATCAGCCAGCCCTCTACAGCGCATGCAGGTGCTACAGATAAGTATATAGATCGAGTTTAGGCTTAGGTTTTACTGCTTAGGACTTAAAAGGGTTTACACGGTGTATGGTTTAGGGCTTAGGATATGCCTTATACTGCACAGGACATAAGACTTCCTGTTTGGTCCATTTGGGCCTGATAGTCCGAGACCGTTATGGAGCAGTGGTGGCTTCGTCGTCTATAAGTGCTCATCTGGACCCCAAAAGTATGTATTATACATTTTGGGCCATTATTTTACCTCCTGGACCCCAACAGTATGTAGAATAATATCATTTTCTGGGTTTTGGGCCATTATTTTGCCTACTTTTGGGGGTCTAGGCCTGGGCTTTTTGGGAAAAGGACTTCCAGCGCCGGTTGGTGCAGGCTTCTGGCTTCCGGTTCACCAGAGGCCTCAGTCAAAGGGGAAAAGGAGGGACCCTTAATGGGGACCCCTACCCTATACTGGGCTATAGAATGGGGTATATAATAGCTATATTAAGGGTATATACCTAGGGGTCCTTATTAAGGGTCCCTCCTTTTACCCTTGGACTCAGGGACTTCATGTGTTGCAAGGCTTTGTGCTTAGGAGCTGTTTCTTAGCAATTCCATTCTTAATAAAATCGTAGCCCTACACTACACTAAACCCTAGGCGCCCTAAACCCCCAACCCTACCACCGATTGGATTTCAGTCCCTAGGTTCGGTTCGGCAAGCATACAGAGCCTAGCCAGTTGTGGGGTTGTGCCCCAACGAAGAAAACCTGAACCTCATGAACCCCCACGCAGGCCCTCGAGTAAAACTCCAGAAACCCTAGAACTTTAATTTCATCCTCAAAACCCCCGCAACCCAAAACCCCATACCCTTAACCCAGAACTCCGAACCCCAAACACGAACTCCGAGTCCTAAGCCCCGGAGGACTTCCTGTGGATCCTCTAGGGCTTCGGGCCTTAACCCTTAAAGGAATCCCTACATATATTTCTTCAGGGGACCCCTGAAGGAGTTCCTATACTATCCCTTAGGGAAAGGGCTTTTGGCCTGGCTTTTGGGGGCGAAAGGATGGAAACTTTGCCGCACAGGCCTGGCTTACGCAGAGATCGCACATCGGAGCCCGATAAATCCAGCACTAGACCTGGACCCTTAACAGACGTTATGTTCGAACGCTGTTTTTGACCATAAGAAGAATTCAGGTATCCCAAGCAGGTGTTTGAATCGATCACCACAACCTACCGATTCCTTGTACCCCGATCACCGCGGACCCTGTAATGTGGGGGCCAGACAGGTTAGTGATACTATTCCTTGCTGGGTGTCCTAGTGCGATTGTATTAACATGTGCTTTCAACACCTTCTCCTAGCCACTTAAGCCCTTAGAAAGAACTTCATAAGTATTAAAAAACAAGTAGTATCTAGATATACACATGCATACGCAAATGTGTATAAATATTATTTAAATAGACATGCAGATATAAGCCTATTGATTTCGCCTTGAGCCCAGTAGAATAAACTTTTATAAACCCTCTAATACCCTCTAGACTGCCCAACCCCCCAGACCTATATAAGCGTTAAACGTACCGTTTTGGGAAGGAGCCCCTGTAAGACTAAAGTATATACCATCGGGATACATGTACCCTTAATCCCTAGGCCCTCATCCCTACAAACCCTAATAGAACCCGTCTGGTAGACTTAAAGGACCCTTACCTGGACCCCAAAAGTATGTAGAATAATAGCCTTTTATAGGTTTTGGGCCATTATTTTACCTACCTTTGGGGGTCCAGGAAATCCCTACAAAGCCTAATAGAACCCCGTATGGTAGACTTAACGGACCCTTAAGGTGCATGGACCCTTACTTGGAGGGGTAGGGGACTTAGTAAGTAGGATATAAGTAGAGTTATAAGTACCCTAGATAGAGGTACCCCAATTATAACCCTACTCATAAGCAACTTACTAAGTCCCCTGCCCCTCCAAGTAGACCCTAAACCCTAAACCCCAGAGATCCCTTAAAGGAACCCTATAAATATCCCTTTAAGGAGCCCTTTGAGATCCGGTTTTAGAATCCTCAAAAGCGATTCCAGCCATGAGCTGGTACCGCTCTGCCGAGGGACGCGAGGTGCTTGAGGGCTTCGGGGGCTTTGGGTTGCTATGATGGTTTAGGGTTAGGGTATATGTTATGCGGTTTAGGGCAACCCTTCATAATATGTAATATAGGCTTTAGGGTTAACGTATATATAATGGAGGGTTTTAGGGTTAGGGTAGAATGTTGAGGGTTGATAGTGTCTTCGGGTTTAGGGCTGCGGCTTCTATGCCTGAGCGTTTGTTTGGGGTTTAGGGCTTGAGGGGTTCTCTGAGCATTGCTATGAGAGCTGCCCCAACAGTTACAAGCGGCTACTGGAGGCTGTCGGTTTCAGCGGAGTTCGTCCCGCTTTCGTGAGGATGTGCATGGATTGATACTTAATCCCGAGGCTCTGCATGAAAGAACTGTAAGCCCTAAAATCCTGAAGCCTCTTTAGATCTATACAGGTTTTGCAGGTTGCCGCCATGTCTTTTTTGTGAGGTTTCGAGCTTGCGTTGCTGAGGTTGCCCGTTTGAATCCCAAACCCCCACCCAACTCCGGAATCGTGATGCGTGGGCTTCTTTACAGCAGGGCTTACTCTAAGGGTACATCTTAAACCCTATACCCAGGTACCTTAGGTACGGCCCCCACTCAGTAATAGTTGAATAATATTCACAACATTGAAAAAGTAGGACCTTAATAGTAGCCCTATTACAATAAACCCTATAAGCCCTAAACCCCTAAACCCTAAATAAACCCTAAACCCTAAACCCCTCCCTAAACCCAGGTACCCATAAACCGGGACTCGTGGTCTGCCCCATGAGTCGGCTCAGAGATTCGGTAGTATTATTAAGGAGACCCCTTAAAGGGTACCCCTTCTGAACCCTACTTCTGGCTCTCCTAACAGGGGCCGTATTGAGAGGGTCCATATCCCCAAGGGCCCCCCTACTCCTCTTAAAAGGGGAGGGTCTGCATCCCCAAGGGCCCCCCTACTCCTGACGATCAGAGATCGGATCGCAAGGTTCGCGTCATTGCCCGACGAATCCAAGTACCTGATCATCATGTGGGGGTCTCCGAAAATCGGGGACCCTGAACCAGTACCCTAACAAAACACGGTATCCCTGATTTTCGGAAACTCTCTCTCTCTCTCTCTCTCTCTCTCTCTCTCTCTCTCTCTCTCTCTCTCTCTCATATATATATATATATATCCACACACACTTGTTTTTTTATTTTCTTATTCACATTTTGCATATACACACTCTCCTAAATCCCAAACCATACCTACCCCTGCCTATTGGGTCCTTGGAACCCTTGAGGTTCGCGCTAGAAGGAATATATTCTAAATGATAGTAGGATTCCTTATATGAATACCCTAAACCTTATAGATCCCTTCTAGATCTCGTAAATATTGTAGACTAAAACCCAGCGAAATTTGAACGGCAAGGGCTGCACCGGTCACGAAGGAAGCCTAAAGCAAAAACCCTGCGCCCTAAAGCCCCGCGGGACGTTGCTTCCACACATGGAGAAGCAAAGACCAAGATGTATAGAAATCACCAAGTACAATCGTACAAGCTAGCGCAGAAAGTTCAGTGTGTGAGCTAGTGGAAAAATGTTGTGACGTGACCTACGACATATAGTGCTCGCGCTCGGTGTCCAATGTGCATAAAGTACAGGGTTGAAGCGAGCTACCAAGATCCTCGGGTTAATCCCCAGACCGGAAACCCCTGAACCCTGAGAAGCTTCCCTCAATACCATGTTCATGAACCCCAGAACCAAAGTACTTCAATGTAGACCAGCGATGTACTGCCGCCGACTCTGTCAATGAGGATTCGATCGGAACATCAAGGTCCTTAAAAAGAGAGGATGCCATTGTACCCCCGACCTATTTGGGAGCCTTTCTAAGGCGCAAGAAAAATAAAACACGGGCAGATGGACCTTGGTGCTCAACCCCGAAACCCGTGTGGTACCCTTGCAGGCCCCTGAAAGTATCCGTAAAAGAAGCCCTGAACGGCACATTGAATATGGCTCCTTAAACCCTGCACCCCATGCAAACCGTAAACCTTACAAAAGAACCCAAACCCTAAACCCTAAGTCTTAAACCCTAAACCCTAAACCCAATCCCTGGGGTCGAACTCTGCAGGTTTGGGTGCCAAGAGCTGAGACTGTCTACACTGTGACGGAGCCGCCGCAGGCCAGTGAAAGCCCTAACCCTAAGGGTCCATGTACCCATTCCTTTGAGGGTTCCTTCAAGGGTTACCGCAAGGGTTCTATAAGGGCTCTATAGGGTTTAGGGTTTAAGGGTCCATGTACCCAAATAGTACCCTTAATTTAGTCCCCATATAGGTACATTGGGCCCACAGTATATACTATTTGGGTACATGGACCCTTAGGGTAAGAGGAATGAGGGGTTGGGGATTTGTGTTTAAGGTTTCCTTTTTTAAGGGACTGCTTGAGGGCTCCAGTAGGAGTCTTCAGCAGTTTCGGTTTGGGGTTGTGGGGCTTAGGGGTGCTGGGCTTGTGATTAGGGCTAGAGCTTGGGAGTCTGGTGTTTAGGCCTTGCCCTAAGGGTCCAAGTAATTCCTATTTATGGTTTTTGGTACCTGAAAAGGCCCTAAAGTCCTATCATAGGGAGTACTTGGACCCTCTGGGTTGGGGTTGAGAGGGTTTAGGGTTGGGGTTTATGGTTACTGGGGTTCGGGCAAGGACAGGTAAAGGGGTTGACGGGTGCTGTTGAAGGGTTCTTTCTTCTGCTTGATCGCCATTTCCTTGATTGAACTTCTGAATGTAGCGCTTCGAGGAATATTGAGTGAGTGAGTCTAGAGCTAGTAGGGCTCAGAGAGTTTATATAGGGAGTTCAGGGCCGAGGATGTTTGAGTGCTAACCTCCAAGTTCGGGCGATTTCTTGAAATTTAAGGATATAACCTTATAAATCCTATCCCCGAAAGCGCTGCAGGGTCTTAGGCAACGTTGGCTTGTAGAGTTTAGCATTCAGGGTCCGAGGGCCTCTTGGTGCTGGGGGGTCTTCGGGCTTCTTGCATTCACAGGGGGAAGGGTGGCCCCGATCACGGACATCTGCGGATTCGATATTTTGCAAACGGTATCCCCTTATCGTCCTGAGTTGTTGGGAAAAAGTAGACTATGCCGCAAGAGCCGATTCTAATTAGTTCGGCCCCTTCAACAGCATACTGGCATCTGTGCATGGGGCGGGATTAGACGTTGAAGTTCATTGACAGCAGCCGTATTTTTAGGAAGCATGGCTTGCTCGCTCGACTGCATACTGTTCGCGACCTCCCGAAAGCCTTTCCCCAGAGCCCTGAACTCTAACCTCTAAACAGCACAGACGGCCCTTCTCCCTCAATCCCAGGCTTTTTTGGCAACCTTCCATTCCCTATCTAGTTTTTGTCATGGTATAACAATTAATGTATTCCGCAACCTTAATGACTGAGCCCCCCATATGGGAGTTTCCGAAAAACTGCAGTATCAGTGCCTTAAACCGTAGGATCCTTCTGATAAGGACCCCAAAATCAGGTACCCCGAATTTTCGGGAACCCTTAAACCCGAAACCCTAAACCCCAATCCCTAAACCCTAAACCCTAAGCCCTAAACCCCAAACCCTAAACCCCAAACTCTAAACCCTAAACCCTAAACCCTAAGCCTTAAGCCCTAAATCCTAAACCCTAAACCCTGAGCCCTAAACCCTAAAGCCCTAAACCCTAAGCCCTACACCCCATCCACGGCAGTACCCCGCCCCTCCCTGTCACAGGAGCTCCCGCTTGAGGAGGCGCAGATCTGTTCCTGTTCGGTTGTTGGGTTTATAGGCTTTAGGGTCTAGGGCTTTAGGCTTTAGGGGTTTAGGGCTTTAGGGTTTAGGGCTTTAGGGGTTTAGGGCTTTAGGGTTTAGGGCTTTAGGGGTTTAGAGGTTTAGGGCTTTAGGGGTTTAGAGGTTTAGGGCTTTAGAGTTTTTTAGGGTTTAGGGGTTTAGGGGTTTAGGGTTTAGGGGTTTAGGGTTTAGGGGTTTAGGGGCTAGGGGTTTAGGGGTTTAGGGTTTAGGGGTTTAGAGGTTTAGGGGTTTAGGGCTTTAGGGGTTTAGGGCTTTGGGGGTTTGGGGGTTTAGGGCTTAGGGGTTTAGGGTTTAGGGATTTAGGGTTTAGGAGTTTAGGGTTCATGAGCAAAGCATGTAAGTTTTCGGGTTTGAGGCGTTGGAGCATCGGCTTCAGGGTTGCTAGTTACTAGTTAGATAAGGCTAGGGTTTGCACGAAGGTCCGACATGGCATTTTTCGGCTGCACATGCCCGATGCAGTGTCATTATGTAATTACCCACTTAGTGTACCCACCAATGAACCCTAACCATCCTAATCAGCTTCACCCCATACCCTAAATCCCCAAGCCATGCAAGCTGTAGATGTTCAGCCCAAAACCCAAGCCCGAGCCGCCACAAGCCAAAACCGAATGAAAGGGGCTTAAATAACTACCAATCTACTTTGGGGGGGTAATTATCGTATACTGGGCCCCCAAACCCGATTCTAATTATTAATGCCCCTATGTTATAGTGAAGTTTAGCCTTGCAAGCCCTTCGTCAAGTGAGCCAGTGAAGGAAAGCCCGTGGCTTGTCTTACTGTCTGCACAAAAACTTAGTAGCTGAGTAGGTAACCTTGAACCGTATGGGGTTTATATAATCCTACCATAGTTGAAAAGGTTAACTTGTTTGAGCCAGGGTACTCAGCCTCTAAGAAAGTAAGCGCAGTTTCCAAGCTCAGAAACCCTAAACGGTAGACGCGGAACCCCCAAATCCTGCACGCCGCAGCTTACGTACCTATCCCTGGGCACGAGCCGCTCCATCTTTCAGGACTCCCGGGATGCTGTGTCATAATGTGGGATCCTTAACAATTAGCACAGGGTTTGAGGGCCCGTTAAAGTGTTTCTTTAAGGGGTTCCATGAGGTTTCCTGCAAGGGTTCCCTGAGGGTCGATGAGGGTTACTGTAAGGGTTCCATGAGAGTTCCTTTAAGGGTTCCATGAGGCTTCCTTTCCACATGGACCCTTCGTGCTAGTCCCAGTGTTTGCTGAGCCTGGGCTACACTCCAGATCGGTGGAGCTTGAGAAACCCCAAACCCTACACCCGAGAGCCGTAGTACTCGGAGGATCATGGGAGTTAGTAAGGCTAGGGGCAAGTATAGCTGCCCTAGCACTGGGGCCTTAATACATAAACAAGAATAGGGTTTGGGGTATTTTTCTAGAAATACAAGGAACCCTAAATAGAAATAGAAATATAGGTAATTATTGAGAAATCCCGCACCACTCAAGCTTCCCTTCGTGTGTGCTTAGTAGCTGTGGGTCTATAGAGTAGTGGGATGGTATATCCCCAGGAGTCCAACATCCAAAAGCCCTCTCCCAAATTTCAACCTACCACCCCAAACTCAAGGGCCATTATTGGGTCCGCTAGGCGTTTCGGGCGGGACTACGAAGGGATCCATTCGGCACCTTCTCCGCTAAGAGCCAGGGCAGTCTGGCAAGAATCGGCTCAATGCTCAAAGGATCATAGGACAAGAACTGGGGTTATGAAAAATAACCATACACTCATAACTTCTTACCACCCAAATAAGATATACCTAATATGACTCCAACACGACCCCGGCTTACAGCCCAAATAAGGTGTCCCCATAATATGACCCCCCACTTGAGGTACGAACTCTGTCCCATGATCCTCATTGCAGGAGGATGATAGGACTCAGAAACTACATAACTATACTTAAATTACTTACAGCCCCAATCAAGATACTCACTAAGTCTTATGATCGTCATTGCAGGAGGCCTTCGTCCAGGATGACAGTTGGGAAACCGGCAGGACCTGACCAACTCCTTACGGTTTAGGGTTCTGGTTTTACGGCCTGAAGTTGCAGTTTAGGGTGAGCTGAAGGCTAAAGGTTTAGGCTCTTGGGGTTTAAGGCGGCCCCGAACACCAACCTTTGTTTGTTGTGAATATCCTAACGGCCCAAGTACCTCATGCATAGTCCTGTACTCTCCCCTAAGGCTCCATGTATCTAGATGGTAATTCTATACTTTGGTTTGGCCTTAAAAGGGTTCCTATGCAGGTACTTTCAAGCCTAAGTATATTGTATGTTGCATGGGTGCATGGAGCCTTAGGGTAACCTACGTAACTACTATCCCTTTGGACCCATACGGATAGCATCCGTTGGATCGTCAGATCCCGGGTGCTGAGTCACTGTTTGGGCTATCTACCACCCTAAGACTCCTAAAGGATCCCTTAGTAGCTGAGTGGACAGACTTCACACTTTTTTGCATAATACTAGCCACTGCAAAAACTGAAAGTGTGCATTTTTTAGAGCTTGTGAACTCAGCAACTAAGCTCCTAAAGGGGCCCGTTGCCTTCTGATGGAGAGTTTGGGCTTTGGGGACCTTGGGTTCGGGATCTCACTCTGCAGGCCTGACTTCTTAGTTCCTTCGTTCGGCTTCACCTAACCCCTAACCCCTAAACCCTAACCCTACATCCTAAACCCTAACCCCGAAACCCTAACCCGTAAACCCTAAACCCTAACCCTTAAACCCTCAACCCTAACCCCTAAATCCTAAACCCGATACTCCTAAGCCCTAAACCCCTAAACCACGGCGTGCACTGGAGTTCTCAGAGCCATATCTCACCACGACGAGACCAGACTCCAATCCAAATTAAGAGGACCTACTGTTGATGATAGAAACCTTGATCTATAAGGGTACCTTCAAGGAGCTCCTTTCAGGGATCTATAGGGTTTAGGGTTTAGGGCTGATAGTAGGAATCCTGCAATTACTTCAATGGCCCGGGACTATGGGAATTATGGTATATTCGTTATTATGGGTAATGCAAGGTTTTTATCATCAGCCGTATTTCTCTTTCTGCATCGACTGGCAGGCGACATCGTGAGTCGCCCGAGCCACAGCAAAGCGCATTACGCCACTGTGCATATGGAAGCGACTGCCCCTTGTAACTGGCCGGACGAGGTTTCTGTTGAAGCCCCTCCGAAGGAGGCTTTCTGAACCAAGTCACCGTGCTGCAGGTGTGACTTTGCGTTGTCCGGACTGGTCTAGTGACCTGTGAAGTTGATGGCTGGATTTCGGCTATTTGTCTTCTTACTGCAGGTGAATGTCCAGTGCAAGGATGGGCAGATGGAAACAGGCATCGAAGCTGCCAAGCAGCTGGGCATCTGCAGGCTTGAAGACGACTACGGGTTGCAACGGCAGCGTGGGCTGTCTCCAAGAGCCAGACAGGTCCCTAGATATCTATATACTCTACTACACCGCAACTTGGTCTGTAAACTGTAACCTGAACCTCACTATATACCCTAAATCCCAAGGCCTACTACGGTCAACGTGTAGCCCCGGAAAAGCCTACTTTTGCAGGGTTCCTTATTCTGTATTTCTTTATATTATGTGTGTATACATATACATATATATATATATGTTATATACATGTGTGTATATATATATATATACATATATATATATATATATATATATATATATATTTATTTATTTATTTATATTTAGGTTTCTTGGGGCCGCAGGTAGCCTTGAGCCTTAAGCCGCCATCCTCCAGGAGGAAGAAAAGGCAGCTGAGAACCGCGGGCAAGCAGCGCGGCTTCCTGGCCACGCGCTCAGAGATCCATGCTTCTCTTTTGAGGAACCCTGCATCATGAGGACCCTTAGGGGGGTAGGGGGATGGGGGTAGAAGACTATATTTCCTTGAATAGGCCTTATTAAGTCCTTGGTATAGGTAAGGGTCCCTATGACTATAAGACCCATCGGTTTCGGGTTCCTGACCAGGGTTTCCTTGCAAAAGTCCGAGGCCTTAAGCGTCGAACCGTGAGCGGGAACCTTCACAGCCTAAAACTCCCAAAAGCTCAACCCGATCCCGAAATGTTCCGAAACCCTAAACCCTAAACCCTAAACCTTAAACCCTAAACCCTAAACCCTAAACCCTAAACCCATCCTCCGGCTTGCAGAGGTTCGGGTTGCTGGCGACGATCAAGCCCGCGTAGTACCGTGGTTCAAGGCAGAAGATCGACGGAACGCATCTGTAATTACGGGTCTCATCCTTGAGGAATGAATATGCTCTCTTGGAGGCAGATGCCCCGATTGCAGAATAGTTGAACCCTCTGCGCAGTTCTAGCTGCACTTAGTGCACCTGTCGGCAGTGAGGTGTGGGATGTTGGGCCTTAGCTTCGGGTCGTGTGACTTACGTCTTCCAGACATGCTGCACTGAATCAATGCCCTGGCAGATACCCTGGGTCTCAACTTCGAGGTAAACCCTTAATCCGAAGGGTCCGAAAGACTTAATAATCGGTAGTTTGGTATTTGGGTTACGGTTTAGGACAATCATACTGTTCTAGCGTAGTTTTGGGGAGCCTATGACTAGTCACATTGTTAGTCATTGAGGCCCATAGGCTCAACCTCGATACATGTTAGAGCCTCTGATGAAAAAAGACACCTTTCTGCCACTTCTTTGAAGGCTTACATCCCGGGCACACTACCCGACCTTGTTAGCGGGGGATGTTTTATTGCAATAAATGAAGCTGTCCTTAAACATAAACTGAATTGTCGCGACAGGCCGCGTGCAAGACGCTCGTGGCCGATGGGGCGCGGGGCCCTGGGAATCGAGTTGCTGTCGTGCTGCATGTAATACCCTAAACCCTAAACCCTAAATTAGCCACATCATGATTTGGGCTTCCTTTTCATCATTGTGCTATAATTACAATTTGACGCCCCATACCGCCCATACCACCCTCCATTACTTGCTAAGGCCCCTACACAGCTTTAGGGTGTTTGTGAGTTTTATGGCTTCTTGTTTTCGAGACGGACGCCGACACACCTAAACTTGCATCCCAAATCCTGAACAGCCTAAATACCATGAGCCTTACAAGCCCGAATGCAAGGTTCTGAGCAAGGTCGAGGCGGAGGAAGCCACGAACGCAAAGAAGCTGAGGTGCACGTCGCCAGTTGGGGATGTTCGGCTAGGGGCCTTGTTTTAATAAGCAGAATCGGGCTGTTGGGTTATGTTTCAGCACAATTACAGTGAGGAACCCTTAGATTGGTAACTCCTGAGGCCACATGGGCGCGAGAGCGCGACGGAGAGAACTCCAGCTCCATGCGCACACAGATGTGTGCAATACTTCAAGATCCCAGTTCAAGGACGAAAGATCGTCAACAATTGTATGTGTTGGTGCAGCCTGCATCGGCAGCTTTACATCAGTAAGCTGGCAATCTAACGCCTGTCTCTGGAGCTGGGACAGGGACACAAGCTTTCCGGCTAAAGTTTGATGTGTCTGGGGGTTTAGGGTTGTCAAGAAAAGCATTTGGTGATCCCAAACATATTGTGAACCAGACTAGCTTTGCAACGGTTGTTGCAGTATCGGTTGCTTACAAGACGAAGTGAAAAGGTCATGGAGACACATACCGTTGCTCGAATGATGTGGGAGTTTCCGAAAATTAGGTGTACCTTTTGTGGGGGTCCTTATAATTCTTATAATAAGGATCCTACCATTTTTGCGGTACTTTCTGAGGGTCCCCTATCTTCGGAAACTCCCAATTTGGTCTTCGAGCTCAAAACCATGAACCGTGCTCCAAACCTGACACCGAAATCCTCAGCTAAACCCTACCTATAGTCTCCATTGTAGTTCCTTGTATTGGTTAACCAGTTTTATGGTTAGGATCCTATAATAGAGATTTTGGTTAACCACAAAAAGGAACTACAATGGAGACCCCTAAACGGCTGACACCGAATCCTGAGCTCGCAAGGAAGCAAAGTCGCGCCGTGGCTGTGAACGAATGCCGCGTGGACACGGTGTCGAGGCAACCAACCCAACAAGTTGTGCTCCCCATGTACCCATTTAGTATAAACATTTGTCGTCCTACAGGGCCAAAAACACATTTAAGGCGAATGTATATGAATCTTGTGCATATGGATCCTTGGGGGTTGTTGTTCGCACATGTCTGGTTTTGGAAGTCTCGTGGAATCCGTAGACCACGAGCCTCCGGTGCCTGCATCCAAAGCCCTACGGACCCTCATCATCTAGTGCTGATGCAGTCTGAGTTTCAGAACGCTATGCTGGGCCTGTTCTCTCAAACATTCAGACTTGTGTACATGCGTTTCTACTGCGTAGCTTCCTGTGCAGGCATGCTGACCCCCAAACCTGGTCCACTTGATTAGCCTCCTATCGCGTGATTAGTTACTATAGGGGCGAAAATAATGGCCAAGGCTATTTTGGCGCTTCCTGTTCTAAGTATAGTATCATGGGCCCAAAACCCTACTCTAATTATTAAGACCCCTATGTTACTGTACCCCTACACTATGCCTTATAGAAATCCTTATAAAAACCCTTTAAAGGAACCCCGAGCTCCTCACCAACCGAAAGCCGAGAACTGCCTCCGGCAAGCCCCGAAAGCCCTGAACCCCACTTGGAGGATCATTGGACTAAGTAAGGAAGGTGAGGGCTTAGGGTTTAGGGTTCCTTTAAAAGGGATCTATAAGGGTTTAGGGTCAAGGATCCTATAATGGGATTTATCAGGGCTTAGGGTCTACTTAGAGAATCATAAGACTTAGTAAGTAAGGTTATAAGTACCTTAATTAGTTGGGCTTATAAGTATAATTATAAGTAAAGTTACCTGAATTATAACCCTAGTTACTAAGTCCCATGATCCTTTAAGCATAAACCCCAAACCCAAAACCTCGAAACCCTAAAAGCCTAAACCACCAAATCCTACTTCAAACCCAAAAACACGAAACCCTAAAAGCTTAAACCCCCAAATCCTACATCCCAAGACCCAGTTAGTTAGGATCCCTTATACAACCCTTACAGATCCTTGTTTTGGAATTCCAAAACCCCCAGATCCTAAAGCCCTAAACCCACTTAGATCAGCCCTTATAGGTTCTTGTCTTGGAGCCACAAAAGCCCCAAACCCTGAACCTCGACAGTAGAAGCCCAAAAGTGGAAACCCAATAGCCTCAATCCTTAAGAGCAACGCGTACGGAATCCTCGCGCTAATTTGTCCTTTCTCAGGTTTCCAACTTTATGGGGTTTACTATAAGAGCCCGAAAGGGCCGAGCCCAGTGCGGAGGTGCCACCACGGCGTATGTGGACCTGGCTTTCAGGCACCCCTGGCCACTTTAGGGCTGGCTTATTTATTCCTAGTCCTAGTCATAGTCACTTTAGGGTTAATTGGGTTTAGGGTTGAATTTAAACCCTAGTCACTTTAGGGTTTGTTGTTTGGGGCTTTAGGGCTTTAGGGTGAACCTGGACCCCAAAGAACCGGCCTTAATTGATTGAGGCTCCGCATTCTGATTTCGGAATATGAGCTGTTGACAAGGTAACCCTAAACCCTAAACCCTAAACCCTAAACCCTGGTTATTCAGAATCCACGGATGGTTTGGGATCCTAGGAGGTTCTACTGAGAGTTTAGGGTCCCGGATTTAGGGTTTAGGGTTTAGGGTCCCGGATTTAGGTGGTGTTCTGTAGTTATTTGGGAGCTCCTGGGATACCCGAAAAGCGGCGCCCGCCTTTTGAGAGCTTAGGGACTCAGGCTTCATGAGCAGTTGAAGACTCCAGGTTTCGGAGCCGAGTGCTTTGTAAAAGTACAGTGTTTGTTTGTCGTTTAGGGCTTAGGGCCGAAGGCTTTGGATTTGGTGTAGGGTTCCTTTCGGGCTTAGGGTCTAAGGTTTTTAGGAGTTGAGTAGGAGCCCTGGAGTCGCGAAGTATTGAAACACTGTGCAGCAGGTTGGTGGAGTTCGGGAATGTGCAAAGTGTGAGAGGTTCTGGTTTGTGGATATTGCTGGTTCGTGTTTTGGAGGATGTAATTTTAGCTGCGGGTTTTGGGCTTAACTCGAATTCCCAAACCCCAACACCCCGAAGTCGGACCCCAAAACACGCGGAGCCCTGTACACTCACAAGCCTAGACCCTGGGACCTGCCTCACAAGCCCCCGTAAGCCCAAAGCATGGTAGATGCGCACGACAGCTTAAAGGATCATGGGACTTAGCAACTAGGGTTATAATTAAGGTAACTATACGTATAACTACTTATAACCCCAATTGAGGTACGTATAGTCTTACTTACGAAGTGCCATGATCCTCCAAGAAGCTATGCAGGTAGAAGTCTCGTCGTGCGACGCACGGCAGAAGCTCCACCTCTTCACGAACCACCAGGCTGAGCCCACCACCCTTAGGGTCCATGTGGGTGGTTGTCAAAATTAGGGTTCCTTTTTTGGTCCCTATAATAATACGGCACCGAATATTTAGGGTGCCCAAAAAGGGACCCTAATTTTGATAACTACCCATGTACCTGTACTGAGCTTCTTCAAGAACTTGTAAGGCTTCTACAATGGTGCCATGATGGTTTAGTATCTCTGAGCGGACCATTTTGAGGTGTGGTAGGGTTAAAAAGTGTTTGGCCGAGTGTTGTATACTTGGACAAGGGAAAAGGTTTCCTTCGCACCATGAGGTTTCAGGGTACTTACTTCAGGGGCAAAAATGCATATGTGTGTGTGTCAAATATATATATATATATATATATATATATATTATATATATATTATATATATATATATATATATAATATATATATATATATATATATATACATATCCTATCCATGGCACATGGACCCTCAATTATAGGGTTTGGGTTTTAGCCCTTGAGGTCTTGACTTGAGCCTTCTCATGCAACCTCGACCGCACATCGAACAGCAGGAGCAATGTCTATGTGAACCCCGGATAACCTACCTTTTCAAGGGGTTCTAGAAGGAACTCATCATAGGGAACCCGAAAGAGGAAGGTGTAATGGGGTCCAGGTAATGCTTAGAATCCAAAGCCAACCCACGCGTAATATCCCTGTCAAGGTTCTTAAGCCTCCGAAGGTTGCAGCTTCACCCAAAGGGTCGCAGGACTCACATTACGACGCCTTTGGGTCCACATACCATAGTAGATACAGATTTTGCACTATTCTGAGTCTTCGGATCAATATATTAGCCTTCACCCAGCTGAAGTCGACGTGGAGCTTTGGGATTCGGCTTAGACTCGTCTACGAGCATGAGTAAAATGACACAGGAACTTGGTTAAGTCACCCTGGGTCTTCATCTAGGACCTAGAGTAGGCCCTTATTCCCTTTTTCTAGGGTTCAAGCTCCCTTATAAGCCCCTTTAAACCAAAAAGGGCACCCTTTTTATTCCTAGGTTACACTTGGGTCTAGTCATTAGGGTTGCGAATATGAATCCTCGGCCTCGTATATGGGGGTTATAGGGCCAAGGTTTCTTGATCAGGTTCCTACGTTATGTATGTACCTGTGCTTCTACATGTGTTCTCAGGTAGGCAGGTGTCTCGGCAGCTAGGCAGGAAGGTACCTCCGTCTGGACCTGCATGTGCAGACAGTGCATGTGTATGAAACTTATCTTCCGCGTGCACAGGCACACCCACCCACACCCGCACCCACACCCGCACCCGCACCAGCACCCGCACCCGCACCCGCACCCACACCCACACCCACACCCACACCGACACCTACACCCACACCACACATACACACGCACAAACACATTACAGTGGATTTTTCAAGATCAATCGAATGGGTATTACATACGGATGTGAACACGACGAACAGGCCTGCAAAATGTATGCATACACCCCGGCGACACCTTCGCCTGCCTGGACTGTGCAGCTTCAGCTAGGCTTGAAGCTTTCGGCCATGTCGGGCTCGTTATTAATTACCCTGGGCATCAAAATAGCCCAAAAGCCTTATATAGTATGGTCTTTGGGCCCAAAAGCCTTAATATATGAGTCCTTAGATGCCTGGGGATTAGGGGTTTGGGTTTCGGGTCACGTTAAATCCCAGGCGTCCTGCTTTTGCATGTCCACACCCAGATCATCACTGCATAGTGCCGGAAGGCCGAAACACTCGGTCTCCCCTAAACCCTAAGGCTTAAACCCTAATCCCTAAACCCTAATCCCTAAACCTTAAACCCTAAACCTTAAACCCTAAACCCTAAACCTTAAACCCTAAACCTTAAACCCTAAACACTAAACCTTAGTTCCTAATCCCTAAACCCTCAAACACTCGCTCTCCCTGACCCCGACCTGAGATCTGATCTGAAGGTTCTGCCAACGCAAAGATGGCATGCTTGCCTGACGGAGGCGGACGGGGGGGGGGGGGTTAGGGTTTAAGGTTTAGGGTTTAGGAGGCGGCGGGGATTCGTCCGAAGTCCTGGTAGTTTCGGGTACCACGACCCTCCTTGTGCCCTCAAACAGGGGTATATGGTCCCAAATAAGGGGGGCATTTAGGGTCTTTTTGAGGGTAGATGGAGGGTCTAGGAAGGTTGGTGCTTCTGATGCTCTACAGGGCTTCGGAGCCTGAACCCTCCGTTCGAAACTAGCAAAGTCTGCCTTGGAGGGGTGTGTTGGGATGAGGCGATCGTAGGGTGCACGGTTTAGGGTTTCCAGGGAACTCCAGAAAGTTGGAATATGGTTTCATGGTAGGATACCCTATAATTTACCATAGAAGGGTTAGGATAATCATATTCCAACTTTCTGGCTTCTACCTTAGGGTCTGGGCTGAGGATGCGTGCTAGCCAGCAGGCTGCAAGTATCATAGGGCCCGTGATGATGATGATGATGATGATGATGATGATGATACATATTGTGGTTTTGAGGGGTCGGTTGGGCGGTAGAAGGCGAGGATTCCTTGTTGGGGGGGGGGGGGGGGGGGGGGCGGGTAGTCTTGTCTACATATATACATATATATATATATATATATATATATGTATATGTATATATGTATATATCTATATCTATATCTATCTATATATATACACTTTATATATATATATATATATATATATACTATATATATAGTATTCCTGGGTTACTGCAGGTTCTTGATCAGTTAACTGGCAGCCGAGGGCAAGGTGGGTTTAGGATACTCCTTTTGTAGCTGAGTTTGTGTGCGAGTGAAAGGTTATGCGTGTTTAGGGCTCAAGGAAGGGATATGATCATCCGGTCAGGTTTTGGGGCTTCGGGAGAGTTTCGGGTTCTTAGGTACCTCAACCATCAACGACTGCTGACGAGGCTGTCAAGCGCACCTTCGGTCGAGTCTTTGTGGCCCCGGCTGAGGACGCAGGGCTTGACAGTGAGTCAAAATGTTCATCTTACCAAAGCCCCCAAAAGTAGGTAAAATACTGGCCCAAGCCCAATATTCTACATACTTTTGGGGTCCAGGTAGTTAAAGCTTCACAGGAAACATCTGTGTAGGTGTTGGGCCTTGGGTTCCAGGGTTCTTGCGAATGCAAAGGGTCCTAAGTACCCACATCTAGTAGTAGAATAGAGGGCTTCTATAGTAGGAATAGCTTTTACAATTTGGGAAGGCATCCCCCCCCCATAGCAATACCTAACACCCTTCGGGGAAGGACGTAGAAGTGCCGGGGATCTGCGCTTGTCGCTTTAGGTTCAGGGCTGGGGCTCAAATATCACGACTTCTGTGCGTGAAAGACCATAATTTTCGGAAACTCCTGTAAAGAAACCCTAAACCCTAAACCCTGAAAACATTGGCGCTCAAGACTCCGGAGAGTCCCCAACCTCGACCCATGAAACACGCACGCCTCACCCCCGGAGCCCGGAGCAGCCAATTATGACCGGTCAGTCGTACACCCGAAGATTCCCCTAAATCCTTAACCTTAAGGGGTATTTAGAAATATTGTGGAATTTTAGGTTATTATAATCCCTAAGAAACAGCTAAAAGTACAATTTTTGCTAGGATTTTAAGTTCAGTATAGGAAACCCTTACCCTGTCAAGTAAACTAACCCGACACCGCTGCGAGACAGTCAAGGCTCAGAGATGAGCAGAAAGCCGTTAGCTCTCTGCTGCTTCCCTAGGACCCAGAGTGGGCCCTTAGTCCCTTTTTATGCTTTAGGTTCCCTTATAACTACCTTTAAACCAAAAAGGGCATCCTTTTTAGTCCTAGGTTACTCTTAGGGCTAGTTCCGGAGGCAAGAAATACGGAGCGACCGGACAGCCACGACCTCGGCTGCGAGAGGACATGCAGCTTGCTCCTTGTGACAATATCTTCAGCAGTATACCCTGGAAACACGTTCCACTGTAATTGTTAAGGCTCCTATAATTTGTACCCGGTCACATCCGCTGTCTATTCCTGTATGTCTCTTATACGGTTTCACGTCGCTTGGGTGTAGAATCCAGAGGGACGCCACGTTCCTTGCAAGCGCGGCTTTTTTGTTTGCCCGCTGCTTTGGACCTAGTGGGGGGTGATGCATGGACTCAGCATTCTCGTCATTTCCGGGCGAAATGTGTGTATACGTACATATATATACACGCACACACACACAAACACACACACACACACACACACACACACACACACAAACACACACACACACAAACACACACAAACACACACAACACACACACACACAACACACACACACACACACCCGCACACACCCACACACACACACACACCCACACACACACACACACACACACACACGCACGTAGATCTGGCAGCTTTAGATAGTGCGCCCAAGATTGACGATTGGCTCTTAATTCTGTCGTAGGGCAGTCTAAGTCCCGCCATTAGCAGAGGATCTGTCGGGCCTTGAGGTTAGCCCTACACCCTAAACCCTAAAGCCCTAAAGCCGTAAACCCCAAGCCCTAAAATCCTGCCGCACTAAGCCCTTAACCCTATAGCCCTAAACGCAGACCCTAAACGCTAAAGGGTGTAGATTACAGGGTGGTTGGTTGCCACGCGGTCCTCTTTGTGAAACAGAATCCAACCCCACCATCACCCCGATGCCTGCCCTTCCATACTTGATCCTTGAAGGGTTCTATAGGGGATCTATAAAGATTTAGGATTCTAAGGATCATGGGGCATACTAGCTTGGGTTATAAATACGGACACTATACCTACAATTTCTTGGAATCCCGATTAGGGTGCATGTAACCTTACTTACGAAGTCCCTTGATCCTCCAAGTAGTCTCTATTGAAGTTCACCCTTTTGTCTACGGAGTTGCTCTGAGGATTTGGGGTTTTAAGGGAACCTTGAAAAGGAATTACCATGGAGAATCGAGGTTCAGTCTCATGTCCAGCAGACTGCAGGTAAGGAGACTGGCGAAGTGCCGCCCTTGGAGTCTGACGTTTTATGCAGATTCAGACGTGCCTTAAGTGGTTCCTAAGGGTCCATGCATCTGCAGATTGTATACCTTAGCCTTGCAGGGAGTTGTAAACGGGGTCGAAGTTTGTATAAAACGGGTACCTGCACCCTGAGGGACATGCTACAGTTTCAATTTCCCAGCTTTGGCCGACCCTTGTTTTGTGGCTGGGTGTATGTCGAGAAATAGTTTGGGCATTTCACAAAATTCCGTGTATCTTGTTTGGGATTGCTTACACAAGGATGCTGTTGTTTCCCACATGTTCCGAACTCATATTTCGGTACTGGGATGCGGCTTGGTGTGACACCTGGACCATTGTAGGCCCTCGGAAAATGAAGTTCATTCCTCCAGCTGGTAGTTACCGTTCCCACATGCCCTACACCCATATATACCTACGGCACATACCTCAGACATGGCATCGAAGAGCGTTGCTTGCTAGCTGCTGTTCAACGAAGGTCTTCATAGATGCTGCGCCGGATCGGCAGCGAGACGAGGAGGAGGCCTACAAACTTGAGAACAGCATGTTTTGTTTCTGGGGCGGGGTGTCTTGAGCTTCACGATCCTGAGACTGAGTGAGAGTTATTATTGTTATATATATATATATATATATACATATACATATATATATACACATACACATAGTTTTCCGTTTCAGAATCACAGTATTCACATATCATAATTATCATACCGGCTCCCATACTTTGCTGAAACTGTCATGTAGGCATGAAGAAGCATTCGGTTGAGTAAGGCTGGCCTCTGTGATAGGAAGCATGACGGATTACTCGTATCACAAAACTGCCGAGAAATTAACTCACAGTGTCTCCTATGTTGTATGTGTATAGTTTAGCTTTTAGGGTTTCAGGGGCTTTGGCTGTAGGGTTTAGAGTTTAGGGCTTAGGGCATAGGCATAGCATAGGGCTTAGGGTATAGCATATGTCTGTCTCGTATACCAGGCAGCGCTCGAGTGTTTTCTCTTCGCAGGAGCTTCTGCTTATGTTACGACAGTGGCAACACAAGCACGTCCACAGTCGTGTCCAGCTGCTCATACAGAGCGCAATTTTACTAGGACCCAGAGTAGGCCCTTATTCCCTTTTTTAAGGGTCTATGTTCCCTTATAACACCCTTTAAACCAAAAAGGGCACCCTTTTTATTCCTAGGTTACTAACTTAGGTCTAGTCATACAGAGCGCAATTTTAAGACTCTGAAGAAGAGCCCGTGCCCTGACCTGACAACCTGAACCCTCAAAGGCTTCAGGGTTTAGGGGTTTAGGTCTTATAAGATTTATGTAGGTGTGCAGCTTTTAGGGTGTAGGTTTAGGGAAGCCTCACAGGAAGATTCGTTTTCTTTGGAATCGAAGCCTTGCTCTCAAATGTCGATTAGGAACACTCCAAATCTGCCACCTGATCTCAAACAGCACCTACCTGGACCCTACAAAACCTTTCTTGTTAGGATTCCACGTCTATATACATATATATACATATATATATATATATATATTATTATATTATATTATATTATATTATATTATATTATATTATATTATATTATATTATATTATATTATATTATATTATATTATATATATAAGACCTTGCAACGGTAGGTTATTTTGGGGGGTTAAGGTCGACCTTGAGCCTCAAAGCCCCGAAGATTGCACCCAAAGGCACACCCGTCCGTCATCACTCTAAACTGAAGCTCCAAATCACTTCCAAATCCGAAAACCCAAAGGCACAACTTTTACGAGTCCATCCACGCAATACTCCCGACCCAAACCCTCACCTCACACCCTGAAAGTGCCACCCAAAACCTCCAGAATCCCACAAAGCAAACAGAACAAATTCTCCTAAACCCTAACCCTAAACCCTAAATCCTAAACCCTATACCCTAAACCCTATACCCTAAACCCTATACCCTAAAGGGCAAAATGCCAGCGCTACTTTCGGAGAAAGGGTGCAGTTCAGCTTTAAAAAAAACTCTATACCCTAAGCCCTAAACCCTATAGACCCCAAACCAAACTATCCGGCAAGGCCTGGCTTTCTTCACTCCTCGGCTCAGATCCCCACGCAGCTGCTGCCCGACGGCTGCATTTTCCATGTAGGGTTTCTATATCAGGAATTGCTATTATGATTTGTGGAAGTATCCCCCATAACAGTACAAAGGACCCTTTGGGATAGGGCGGCGTCATGTCGGGTTTATAGGACTTTTAGGATTTAGGGTTTCGGGTTTAGCTTGCAGGATTACGTGGGTTTAGGGCTTTAGGATTTAGGGTTCAGGGTTTAGCGTTTAGGGTTTCGGGTTTAGCTTGTAGGATTATGTGGGTTTAAGGTTTGAGGATTTAGGGTTCAGGGTTTAGGGTTTCGTGTTTAGCCTGCAGGATTGTGTGGATTTAAGTTTCAGCGCTTATGAAGGGGTTCGGGTCAGGGTTTCTGGCCCTTCAACCGCCGTTTTAAACCCCAAAACAACCGTGGCTGCCAAGCTGGGTTCTAGCTCTTGAAGTTCCCGAATACTTAGGGGTATATGCTTAGAAATGATTTTTAATTTTTTGGTTATTATAATCCCTAAGAAACAGCTAAAATTATAATTGTTGCTAGGGTTCTAAGTTCACTATAGAATATGGCAACTGTACAGTGCAAACTTGTCAAGTGGTTTTCGGGCATGAGGGCTCGGTTTCAGGTGTAGGCTTATTCCAGAAACCAGTGAAAACAGCTCCCATCCCGTTAAGGCAGCCGATCAGTGACCCTGAGCTCGCAGTGCTGAGCGCTACACGTTACAGAAATAGACAAGAGATCTAGGGTACTTGATGAGTTGCATAGCAGCATGTTGATGTCTTTTGTTGCAGTTCTCTGTACCACCATGAGGTTTTGGTGAGCGATCCTCAGAAGGGTTCCCAAACTTTCACCCGGTAAATAAACCCCAACCCCTTAAACCCCAACACCCTAAAAAACCTAACCCCCCTGCCCTGTATAGTACCCTTCAACGGGAACCCAATTGTAGAACCCTGTGTAAACCCTAAACCCAAAACCCTAAAACCTATACCCTTCAAAGAGGACTCCTCGGACCTACGGCCTGTTGAGGTGCCAGAAGAAACCGAAGGACCGGCACAAGAAGCGCAAGAGGAGGCAGCACCGATAGAGGCGAGGCACGTTCGGGGTTTATGGTGGTTTGGGGTTTAGGGTTTAAGGTTTAGGGTCTATGGTGGTTCGGGGTTTAGGGTTTAAGGGTTTAGGGTTCAATTCGGGATTATGGCGGTTTGGGGTTTAGGGTTTAAGGGGTTATGTGGGTTTGGCTTTCGGGGGTTCGATGAAGTTGTATTATAAATTCCAAGCAGGCTTTAGTCTAATCATGAGACTCATTAGAGCCCATGAATTCTGATTTTGAGAGTTTAGGCGTTCAGGGTCTAGGATTAAGGGTTCCCGTGTGTGCGTGCTTTCGTGAGTTTCTACATCCAGGGTCTGCGCAAGCTCCCATGTCGAGTGCAACGTGTAGTGGGCATTTGGGCTGCTAGGGCGCAGGTATTCTGCATACAATTCCATATAACCCCGATCAGTCAAATTTACTAGATCCCATTAAGGAACCCTCAGTGGGTCTTCAGAGTTTTATCCGCAAGCTCTCCCTGATCGGTGGATTTCTTGCAAAAGCCTGGTAGGGTTTGAGGTTTAGGGTTCAGGGTTCAGGGCTTTGGGTTTAGGGCTTGGGGCTTTAGGCTTAGGGTTTAAGGTTTAGGGTTTAGGGTGGTTGTCTCACCCGCGCTCGGGAACATCAACATACATGAATCAACCATGATAATCTCCAGACGCTTTAGTGTCGGGAGCTGCTTGTTGAGGGTTGAGTTGTTGGGGGCGCAGGTTTGGGTTGTACCCAGGAGCAAGCAGCAGGAACAACTTTGCAATAGTCACAAGCGTCGATATATATATATATATATATATATATCGGTCGCATCAAGTACGAACTCCATTCCTTGGGTCCTGAATCAAAAAAGCTTTACTTTATAACATTCTCCCCCCATACCCTGTGCGAATCATTGTGGCTGTTGGAATGGCTGGTTCTGATTCTGATGACGAATGTCACAAGCACCACTCCATTTGTCGACGACAGTTCCTGGTGCCCACGACCCCTGACAACTGCATAACCCCTCACACCTACATACACCACCCATGCCAAGAAGCACCGCAAAGTAACATCAACAAACAAGGAAAAACAATGGGACTGAGCACCATCATCATAATGTTATGCCAATCTCCCTCAGGCTGCATGTATCTATATCGTATATACTTAAGCCTTGAAGGTGCCTAGATAGGCACCCATTAACCCTAAGGGTCCAAGTACCTAATAATCATATACTTTTCAAAAGCCTAACCTACACAATTATTATCCGAAAGCCGAGTACCTAATTATTGGGTTCTTTGGACCCTTGGGGTAAGGCCTAAGTGTATAGTTTGGGTACGGCCCCCACTCAGCAACAGTTGGATAATACTCATAATATAGATATATAAGGCCCTTAATAGTAGCCCGATTATAGACTGTTACTGTATGGGGGCCGTACCAAATGTATAGTTTTTAGGTACATGGAGCCTAAGGGTCTGCTTTCCCCGGCCTGTTGCTCTCGGAGGTCGCGCCCCATGGTGCAAAGGAAGTTCGAAAGCGTTGGGGTGACTACTCCGACGAGGTGGGTGTGCATGGAGCATCATGGGACTTAGTAAGGATCTAAGCACATACCTTAAAATGCCCGAAGTCCCATGATCCTTTAAATGGGGCTTCGGGTTTCCTGTTTCGGGATTTTGGGGTTAGGATTTAGAACCCTGAACCCTAACCGCAGAGTTAGGGTTCGGATCTTTGGGCTCTAAAGTCTATAAGTCTATAAACGGTACCTACTTTGGGCTATTTGGAGCCTTAGGGTTTGGGTTGGTTTGACCCTGGGGCTCTAGTCACCTCAATGGGTGGTTGCCGATAGTAGGGTCCCATTTTGAGTCCTTAATATAACACGGCATCTAATATGTAGGGAACCCCCAAAAGTGACCCTAATTTTGACAACCACCCAAATAGTAGGTAACTAGGGTACACAATAGCATGCCTAGTAAACCTACTATTCAGGTAACTCAAAGGGGAAAAGGAGGGACCCTTAATGGGGACCCCTACCCTATAATGGGCTATATAATTGGGTATATAATAGCTACATTAAGGGTATATACCTAGGGGTCCCCATTAAGGGTCCCTCCTCTTCCCCTTGGAGTAACTGGAACTGCAGGGTTTGGTGATGGACTTCTCGGGAGCGTAGGCTTGGGCCCACTTCTGCTGACTCGATTTTTAGGGTTTAGGGGTGGCAGTTCCTAATCCCAAAGTGCTGAGTGAGCAGGATGATGCGATGCCTGAAGAGCCTTCCAAAGATAAGGAGGCCGGCCGCTTCTTGCGTTTAGGTCAGGGTTTAGGGTTGGGTTGAGGGCGGAGTTTGACAGGCAGCGGCAGCGGTACGTTTTTCGAATTTTTCGCATGTGCTACGGCGATCACTCTGTACACCGACGATGCGTTGCCCCCGTTGGTTTGGGGCAACCCTGAGGGTCCATGTGCCATAGTATAACTTTGACTCTGTATACTGGCGATGCGTTGCGCCTGTTTGTTTGGGGCAGCCCTAATAGGCCCTAATAAGGGTCCATAGTGTTACTCTGGCTTTAGAGTAGTCTCTATTTCGGTACCTTGGGGCCCATGTATGTACTACATGGGCACATGGACTCTTGGAGAAGGGGTCGAAGGCTCGTAGACTCGTCAAGGAGTCTCAGTTTGGTGTTTAGGGTTTGGGATCCGGGCTTTCGGTTTCCCCAAAGGGTCCAAGCATCATTATGGTATATACTTATAGGGTATATTGGGGGCCTAAGTATATACCATAATGATACTTGCCCAAGCAGAGCAGTGTGATGAGACACTTACCAAGTCCAGAGCATCATGCCTTAAGCCCCGAATTCTCGTGTCCTAGCGCACCCTCAATTCTAATGGCCCTACTGAGCCCTGTAAGTCCCGGAGGTGTCTATCTTTCCTTCCCACGCACCCTTCAGAAACACCCCGACCTTTAAAGTCCTTACAACCGGCATGAAACCCCCCAACATCATAGAGCTGAGGGTTTCATAGGGTTTAGGGGGTACGACAGCCGAACTCATGAGCTCATAAACTCCAAAACCCAATCTCTGAAGTGCATAAGCTCAAAGTTCGACAAGTTTCAGGGTTGATGGTTTGATGCGGATCTCTCAAACCTAAGTGCGCATTGAGGGTCAAGGTTCAGTGTTGGAGGGTGGCGTGAGGCAGATGCATTTTCGCACTGGCCCCTGTCCAAATGTTAGCAAAGAAGCGAGTTGGGTTGCGCTTGCAGTGCTGGACAGCAGTTTTTTTGCTTACCAGGAGCTGCTGCTGTTGTTATCCAGGCCTCATTGCTCTTATTCCTTGGCATTCTTCTGGTTGTTCTTAGGATTTCAGCTCTTCGGGTTTCTATATGAGCTATAATGAGGAAGCTACAGAGATAATTTGTAGGAGGGGTACAGAAGTCAGCCAAGATTCGTTGACGATTGAAATCGTCGTCTCGTGAAGATGCTGCAACTCAGAATGCTCTCCGGGGAAGCCGTTGCAAGCATACCTGTGGAGGAAGTACACGACGTGAAGGGTCTGAAGCAGCGACTGACTCAGCCGCCGCATGACTTGCCCCCGCGATTTAGGCAGAGGGTTTTTTTCCACGGCGAGAGTTTGAAGGATACCGTGGTGCTGGACTCCTCAATGGACCTGGATATTGTTCTGTCGCTCAGTTGCGGAATTTCTGAGCATTTTTGCCTATGAGCTGGACTCCGAAATCCTAAACCTTGCCCTAAACCCTATAACCCGATACATATGGGCCTAAACCCCTAGACTCCTTAACCCTAAACCCCATGCAACACCCCAATGACAAGGCTGAAATCATCACACCTGCCAAGGCTTACGTTTGCTGATGTTTCTCAGAAGCAGGTAGACGACCTCACAGCCGCTGCTGGACGTGGCTCCGTTTCCGAGGCTGGTAGCTATGAAAAATCATACATTACATGTTCAGTACATCCGGAAGAACGGTTCCTGCGCGTGTGTATACAAAGAATGTGAAATTAATTACAACTCATGTACATATCTATATATACACATATTTCATGTATGTTTTGTTTTTGTTTCTTATTCAGTTGTTTGTTTTTTGTTTATTTCCGTATTTATGCTTTTTCACGTGATCATGTATTCATTTGAGTCAACTGTTGGAGTCAACCGTCGGTTTATTTCGTCGATGTGTATTTACTGTTTGTTTACCCTAGTGTGTCGGATCGTCTTTTCTATCAATGTTGGTGCGTTCATGTGCTTACAGCTCGTCGTTTTTCGGTTTTGACATACGGATGTATGTTTCCTCACGGCCCTAGGGTTCCAGTTCCCGACATAGTAAATTGCTAAGCAGGTATTATGTACCCCAGTAACCCAGTATCCAAACTAAAAGGCTCCATGCACCCACATAGTATGTACTCAGGCCTTAGAGTACCTGTATAGGAATTCGTTAAGGCCAATGTATATGCCGTGCGATATAGGCGCATGCAGCCTTAGAACATTCAGGCAACTGTTTTTTTCTTATCTGGAGCGACGAGGGTGTACATCTTCGTTGCCCACGCAATCACATGATTCCGGGTCCCCTTTCTCTTGTTTCCTGAACTTCAAATCCAAGCTCGGCGCCCCAATCGCCAGATGCCAAGACTAGAAATGGATACGTCACACAGAGTTGCCCAATGGACCGAATTGCCAAACAGTTCAGGTTGAGACTATGTTGCAGTTGCCGCAAGATCCTAATTTGATCGGCACCGAAAGAAGACCCGCCTTGACCGCATCTGTGTGCGGTGATGACAATGTCGAAGTCGTGCGCATGCTGCTGGAGGCAGGTGCCGACACAAACTTTTCCAACCGCAGCAACAGTGCAGCGTTGATGACGGCTTGTTTGCACGGTCACGTCGACGTCGTGAGTGTGTTGCTGCAGGGGAGAGCAGACCCCAACTTGATCGACGCCTTGGGCACCACAGCTTTGATGACTGCTTCTTTTGGTGGACGTGTCGAAGTCGTCCGCATGCTGCTGGAGGCAGGTGCCGACACAAACTTTTCCAACCGCAGCAACAGTGCAGTGTTGATGACGGCTTGTTTGCACCGTCACGTCGACGTCGTGAGTGTGTTGCTGCAGGGGAGAGCAGACCCCAACTTGATCGACGGCTTGGGCACCACAGCTTTGATGACTGCTTCTTGTGGTGGACGTGTCGATTTCGTGCGCATGCTTCTGGAAGCGGGTGCTAGCAAGAACTTGACCGACAAGCTGGGCTGCACAGCTTTGATGCTGGCATCTGGTGAAGGTCATATCGAAGTCGTTCGCATCTTGCTGGAGGCTGGTGCGGACAAGAACTTGACCGACCTCTCGGGCCGCACAGCTTTGACGACCGCCTCTGGGCAAGGCCATGCAGATGTCGCGCGCGTGCTGCTGGAGGCCGGTGGCGACAAACGCCGACGTTGTTGACCGCTCAGCGTTCACGACCGGATGTGACCAACCTCTGTTCGCCGTTGTTGCGCAGTTTTGATGAGGAATCTCACAGAAGGTCATATCGAAGTTGTGCGCTTGCATAGCCTCTGCAGCTTTGCCCGCCTTCTGAGCAAAGTCGCATTGTTCTGGCTGAAGGAGTTCCGGGAAGTGGTCTTCAAAACCTTGTGGATGGAAGATGTCTTTGGTTTGAAGCCTAATCAGCCACTCCAAAATCTGGTTCTAGGTATTTCCCACCGAGATCATTGTACTCGTACTCCTTCAGAGGTGTAGTTTCAACTCGGAGTGGTTGGGAGAGTGCATTGCATGCCTTCACACATCCCAATCGGCATGGACTAGGATTTCCGCCACAAACCACGACCAACGAGTCCAAAAGTACCAAACCCTACCAGTAAACCCAATCCATACAGCTCAGCTTGGCCCAGCAGCCTTATATTGTATGGTCTTTGGGCCCAACAGCCTTATAGTGGGAATCCTTAGAGCCTTAGGGTATCGTATAGCTCAAGCCTTGCCCCATCTAAGACCCTAAGGGTCCATGTACCCAAAGAGTATATACACTGGCCGGAATGTACCTATCTACGAAGTATGGACTACTTTGCGGGCAAAGCAACCACTATTTGGGTAAGTGAACCCTTATGCCCTAAACCCTATAGAGCTCCTTATAGCAAGACTCCTTATAGCAACCCTGAAAGGAGCCCTTAAAGGATCCAAACAGGGACCCTTAGGGAAACGTGTTAGACCCAGGAAACCCCAAACTTTCCCGCCCAAACCCTCGATCTCACAGCATGGCCCCCCAGCCCTAAACCCATAAGGGCCTTAGTAACTAGCATAGGGTTTCAAGGCATGTGTGTATACATGTATAGATATATGTGTATATGATAAGCAACCCACCAAAATAGTATAGGCAATTATTGAGGCTCCTGTCGTACTCAAAACTCTATAATATCCCTCAAACTTGTTCTACAGTTCTACACCCCTATGAACCCGAAACTCGCGACAGAGGCTGGCCAAGTCGCACAGGAGAGGAGGCATCTTCCGAGATTGTCAACGGAGGCACGAATTTCGGGTTGAGGGTTAAAAGGTTTGACAACCCTACTTGGAGGGGCAGGGGACTTAGTAAGTAGGATATAAGTAAAGTTATAGGTACCCTAAATAGAGTTACCCCAATTAGAAACCCAGATTATAAACGACTTACTAAGTCCCCTGCCCTTCCAAGTAAGGCTCTGAGGACTCACACCTTAAGGCTTCTTGGCCTAAAGACCCTACTATAACATGCTTTTGGGCGATTTGGAGCCTTAGGGTAAGGGTTTGGGGTCGAGAGTATTGTAGTGGTGCGGGCATATAACGGTTTTTGAGCTAGTTTATCTTGTAGGGATCCTGTGCATTTGCGAGAGAGACTTTCGAATGTGACTCGCTGCTGGGTTTGGGATGTGTTTCAACGGAACAAGGAGCTTACAAACCCGGAGGGCCCATATATATATATATATATATACGTATATATATATATATACTAATTACCATTACGGAAGTAGGTACCAAAAGACAATTCTTACTATGGCTTTTGGGGCTTAATTCCGCGGTAGTATATATGGACCCTCTGGGTAAGTAGGTTTCAAACCGGGTTATATGCATAGGATGCAGGCTGCTAACAACATGGACAAGCCCCTGGAAGAGGCCAGCATTGGTCACCATGTAGTTCCTTAACCCAAGGCGTATTCTGAACCGTGAAACCCCAAACCCATGTGCGGAAGATGTCAAAAGCAAGATCCTCTGCCTATAAGAAGCCAGGTAGGTCCTAAGCCCTAACACCTCAACACCCTCAATCCAACAGCATAGAAAACCCCGATAGAGAGCGTCATTGGTCACCACGCAGTTCCTAAACCTACTTATAAACACTGAAACCCCAAACCTATTTGCGGAAAGATATCCTCTACTTGTGAAACGCCATGTGGGTAGTTCTCCAATTTCGGGTCCCTTTTGAGCAAACCCGAAGCCCTACAACCATAAACCCTAAACCCTAAGCCCTACAACCATAAACCCTAAACCCTAAGCCCTACCACCATAAACCCAAAGCCCTACCACCATAAACCGTAAACCCAAAGCCCTACCACCATAAACCGTAGACCCAAAGCCCTACCACCATAAACCCTAAACCCAAGGCCCATGTAGTTCCTAAGCCCACGTCGTGCAGTGGCCAGGATGATACGAGGACTGAGGAGCCTTCCAAAGATAAGGAGGCCCAGCTCCACTTCAGCTAGGTAGGGCTTTGGGACATTTTATATTTTCCCTTATTGGGCTGAAGAGGATCTTATTTACTAATATTTTTCAGAAGCTTTAAAAGCACCGCCTAGTCAGGATTTTGGGGTGTTCTGGCATTCAGGGTTTCGGGTTTAGAGCTTCAGGGTTAGTGTTATATACATACATATATATATATGTATACATATATATAGGGGTACTTGGATATAGGGATATATAGATATACAGATATATAGATATATAGAGGTTCAGATATATAGATATATAGATATATAGGTATATAGATATGCAGGTATAAAGACATATAGATATATAAATATATAGAAATACATATGTATATACATATATATAGAGATATACAGATATGCCGATATATATATATATATATATATATATATATACAGGTATATAGGTATACAGTTATATGCATTTGTGTATCGATGTATGGGGTTCTTGGCTTTAGGGTTTCAGGGCTTATAGAGTGGGCACAGGCGACGCCTCGTTTGTCCTCATGTGCATGGGGCTTGGGTCTGAACCCCCACCCATGGAACCATCGAAAGACCCATAGGAAGACCCATGTAACGAGCCAAATGATGAAAACCATACTATGGAAGCATGTATAACCCCCATAGAAAATAGCATACTTAGCCGCATAGCATGCCCCATTCGATAGAAAACCCGATAGTAGCAACCCGCATCCCCTAACCCTAGAAATCAAATGTTCTATTCTAATGCTTTATCTCTATAACATGAACAAGGTTTAGCAATAAAGTAGCAACGGCAATGAAGCCAAAGAGTAATATCTACGAATCACACTAGCGGTGACTTTTCTTATGACTATTAGTAGTACTGCTTCCGTTCTTCGCTGCAGTAGGTTACTAGTGGTTTTCGGTTATAAGTACTTGAAGTGGGGTTATGAGTAGTTAGAAGTATAGTTACCCTAATTATAACCCTAGTTACTAAGTCCCATGATCCTTTAAGTATGACTCTTGTTCAGTCTCCCAGGATCTTTGAACTGCTTCGTCTTCTCTCTCACAGCAAACGGCCACAATATTAATAGTAGTGATAATAACAAGAAAATAGTGATAGTCAGCAATACGAGAAATAAACATGACAATAATTCAATAATGGTCTCATAGTACTAATCATGACAATAGTAATACTAATCATGATGTTAATCATCATAAAAACCCCAAACTCTAAACCCTAAAAGAAGATAAGAAAACAGTAATAATAATAAGAATGAGAATAATAGTAAGAGCAAGAAGACTAAGAATAATAATAACCAGAAGAAGAAGACTAGCAATAATAACAATAATGACAATAGTCGTAGTAAAATTAATACAAGAATGACTCATAATAAGACTAACATCAACTACTTGTTCGAATGGTCGTCTTTCCGCATCTGTTGCGCCCAACTTCTTCCAGCATAATGCATCTCTCAATCGTTATGAAAGCTGTCCTGGTACTTACCGCGTTCTCCTGGACATCCATGACGGCAAGGCGGTTTGTTCTGCCAGTCTGCGCTGGCTATGCGCACGTACCCGTGAGTTTCGCTCTGCCTCAGCTTCAACGTGTTGGAGGCTTGTCCAGAAGCATGCGTAGATGGACTCAGACTGCCACATCTCCACCACACTACAGTGCCTGCAACCGTGACACGAGGAAGGACGGTTTGGTAGCCTACAGTGCATGCACCGGACATGGGCAGTGTCACTTGCCGGCAGGTTTGAGAGACGGTTGGGCAGTCGCAGCTGGCCTCCGTCATACTTGTGCAGTGCGGGCAGATGGTCGGCTCGTCCGTTCCGGATACAAGGAACGTGGACAGTGTCAGGTACCAGCAGACTTGGGACCAGTTGTGACAGTCGCAGCTGGCAGTCGTCACACTTGTGCAGTGCGGGCAAACGGTCGGCTCATTTGTTTTGGATGGAATGAATATGGGCAATGTGATGTGCCCGCAGATTTGGGATCAGTTTTGGCAGTCGCAGCTGGCGATGGTCACACTTGTGCAGTGCAGGCAGATGGTCGGCTCGTCTGTTTTGGAAGCAATGAACGTGGACAGTGTGATGTACCAGCAGATTTGGGACCAGTTGCGACAGTCGCAGCTGGCAGGGGTCACACTTGTGCAGTGCGGGCAGATGGTCGGCTCGTCTGTTTTGGAGGCAATGAAGATGGGCAGTGTGATGTGCCCGCAGATTTGGGACCAGTTTTGGCAGTCGCAGCTGGCGGTCACACTTGTGCAGTGCGGGCAAACGGTCGGCTCATTTGTTTTGGACGGAACGAATATGGGCAATGTGATGTGCCCGCAGATTTGGGATCAGTTTTGGCAGTCGCCGCTGGCGTTCGTCACACTTGTGCAGTGCGGGCAGATGGTCGGCTCGTCTGTTTTGGATGCGACGAAGATGAGCGGCTCTATGTGTCGGCAGATTTGGGACCAGTTTTCGCAGTTGCAGCTGCCGGTCACACTTGTGCAGTGCGTTCAGATGGTCAGCTCATTTGCATTGGATGGAATGAGTATGGGCAATGTGATGTTCCCGCAGATTTGGGACCAGTGTTGGCAATCGCAGCTGGCCTTGCTCACACTTGTGCAGTGCGTTCAGATGGTCGGCTCATTTGTTTGGGATGGAATCTATATGGGCAGTGTGATATGGACAACCGGTGTTCATGCAGAACAAGCGATACTGAGTGCCAAGGGGGTATTGGTACATGAGCAATTATGTTTTTTTGTATTGAGGGCGTGGGTGGTTCCGTAGTAATTATGGCTTTCATCATGTGGGTATTGGGTAGGTTTTCCTGTGGGTCTTTTTTTGGTTCCATGGGTGGGCTATAGGCTGTTATGGTTTTGGGTCTTCGGGTGGCCTACGTGGGGAGGTGCATGGGTTATTATTTAAACTGGAATTGGTATCTGCTAACTCAATTACATTCGAATATGCTTTAACTACTCACTATTGACGACCATAAGGGCTCAATTAAAGGAGCAAAGGGCTCCTTGTTCCTTTAAGGGTTCTACAAAAGACTTTTCAGGATTTTATCATAGGAATTTGCATTGTGAAGGTCGGGGCAATGTGTAGTAAACTGTAGTAGTTTGGAGGGGATTCCCTTCAGGATTCCTTTCCCTGTGGTTAGTAGGAATGGGGTACAATTATAACAACTATTACTACCATTCTTCCATTCCCTGCTAACCAAAGGCAAGTTCCTCTGGCCCTAAGGGTCCAAGTAGTCCTTGTTGATGTTTTTTGGTACCTTGCGAGGCCCTAAAGTCCTACAGTAGGGAGTGCTTGGACCCTCGGGGTAGGGGTTGCATCAGGGCTCCATGGAGTGCTAAAACCCCATGTTCTTCAATGTGCAAGCCGGACTTCGTCACAGGATGTCGATGCATTTAGGGTTCCTTAAAAGGTTTCTGTAGGGGTTCGAAAAAGGTTTTCTGCGGGTTTACATACCAAGCGGCCGAGACTATCAGTAATAGTACTCCTGTCTAGAGTCAGAGCAGCACCTTCCGCATCAAACAGTAAAGTATCATACACCCCAACATGCTAGTCTCTTTGCAGAAGGTGCTTCGGGCGTGAATGCTTCAGAGTTTGGGATTTTAGGGTTCAGGGTTAACGGTTTAGGATGCTTCGAAGATCAGGGGGCTCAGTAAGCCAGGTGATAAGTACTTGTCGTGGGGTTTCAACTCCACATACCTACAGTTCCCTAAACCCTTAACCCCTCGTATTTAAGTGTGTTTCAAGTCCGGCGGATTGGAGGGTTATGGGTTGAGGGTACACCCCTAAACTTCCTAAACCCTAACCCAGAGGGTCCAAGTACTCCCTATGATAGGACTTTAGGGCCTTTTCAGGTACCAAAAACCATAAATAGGAATTACTTGGACCCTTAGGGTAAACTTAACCCAAAAGCCCTAGGAGCCCTGAGCCTTCTAAAGCCTCTGAAAGCCAATACAAGGCTCACGGGTTTTTCACCGGCTCTCCGTTCGCTGCTTGGGTTTAGGTATCAATGGTTAACCTAGTGGTAGAGTAGGTAACCTTTAACCTTTTTTGGGTAGTATAGTCCCTATATCATCCTTATATAGGCAACAAGGTTAACCTCTAGTTCCCCATGATACCCGACAAGTAGGTTGAGGGTTTGGGGTCGGGGCCAGCACACTGACTGAAGCACCCTTGGCTTCGGCTTGAAGGACTTTGCAAACAGCATACGCTACATAAGCTTCCTGGACCCTTGTAGTGAGGTCCCAAACCCCAGCCCCCAAAGCGGAAACACACCCCCAGACGGCCCAAGAACCTCTTAGGATTCTTAGGGTATACCCTAAGGCTCCATGTACCCATATAGTTTGTACTCAGGCCTTAAAGTACCTGTATAGATAAACCTTCTGTTGTAAGGCGTATGTACTATATATGTAGGCACATCGAGCAGTCAGGAAAGCCGGAGAAAAGGCAACTCCTTGCATTCCGGCCGTTTTTCCGTTTTCGAAGCTTGGAGGAAGGACACATTATTAATCATTATTGTCGCAGTTCTGTCAACCACCCTGAAGCCTAGCTAATGAGCTCACAGACCCCACGACCAAAACTCTTCGAAGGTCATTCGAATATAGATATATATATATGTATATGTATATATATATATATATATATATATATGTACACACATATATGTATACATATATATACATATATATATATATATATATGTATATATATATATGTATGTACATACACATGTGTATATATGTGTACATATATATATATATGTACACACACATATATATATATATATGTACATATATATATATATATATAGAGAGAGAGAGCGAGAGAGAGAGAGAGAGAGAGAGAGAGAGAGAGAGAGAGAGAGAGAGAGAGAGAGAGAGAGAGAGAGAGAGCGAGTTAGATACATAGCCGAGCTCAACACGCTTCGAGGTAAATGGTTTCGGTTGCCGCTTGTGGTTGAGATGTGGGTTTCGGGTCTAGGATTTTAAGTAGTTGGTGAGGCAGATGCATTTTTTCACCGGAGCCTATCAGCGAAGAAGCCAGTTTGTTCCAGCTTGTAGTACTTGACAGCAGATTTGGGCTTCACAGCTGCTACTGTTTGTGTTGTTGCCCTGCCCCGGGCCTCGTTGCTCATTCGTTTTGTTCGTAGTTTCGCGAAGATGCTGCAACTCAAGATGCTTTCGGGGGAAGTTCTGACGAGCATACCTCTGGACGAAATTCACGACGTGAAGGGTCTGAAGCAGCGGCTGACTCAGCTGCACGGCTTGCCCCCGCGATTCAGGCAAAGGGTTCTTTTCCACGGCGAGAGTTTGAACGATACCATGATGTTGGACTCACCGATGGACCTGGATATTGTGCTGTTGCTTAGCAGCTGAATTCATCATCAGTGTGGGCTTATGAACTACTAAACAAAAGGCCCGTAAGCACTATAAAGCCGAGTTCTGCATATTGACACTCTAAAAACCACACTAAGGTTGACTGTTGCAGATGTTTCTCCGAAGCAGGTAGACGACCTCGCAACCGCTGCTGCACAGGGCTCCGTGTCCGAGGCCGATAGATTTGAAAAGCATGCATATGTAACCTCTTTGACTTCTTCCTGTGAGAACAGTGTATATATGTATACAGTTATGTACAACTTCGCTCATACTGCCGACGTCCATAATACTAAACGACATACACGTGTACGCACATAGGTATATGCATACCTCCACGCAGCCATGCATGCCATGCCATTCCATGCCATGCCATCGAGTACCATAGCATAGCATCCAATGTCTGAAATCCGTCAGCGGTAAAATCATGTTACGTGTCATGCTTGCCCGTCAAAGGCTCTTACTCAAGTGCACAAGTCGCGTGTCTCCGAACTGGAGATGGCTCGACACACGAAGTGCTATGTAGGCTTTGAACCTCCCAATGCACAGACCCCTCGTTTACGTTTATCCGTGTAATGCTCAAAGACAATGAGTTTGGGATCCGATGCGGGTCTGCGGCAGCACACGTTGAGTGTCGCGCTGAGGGTTAAAGGATCGTTGACATGTTCCCATGTCGATATGGTAGGCATAGAAAGCTGGGGTACTGTATTTGGGGGATTTAGGATTCTATATCAGGGCCCCCTATTTCTGATGCTCCCCTACAATGACCAGCTTAACTCCAAGCTCGGCACTTGCCAGGACTTGAAACGAGAGTTGCTGCTTCAACCAGTCCGAACTGCCAAACCCTAGTAGTAGGGTTTAAGGTCAGGGTTTGGGGTTTATAGGGTTTGGGGTTTATAGGGTTTAGGATTTATAGGGTCTAGAGGGTTTGGGGTTTCCTGGCTGTAGAGTAGGCAACCTTTAACCTTTGTTGGGTAGTATAGTCCCTATATAACCCCTATAAAACCAAAAAGGTTAACCCTTAGACTCCCCATGATACCCGACAAGTAGCCCTAAAACCACAAGAATCTAAACCCTAAGAATCACTCTGAACCCTAAAACCAAGACCCTCTTCCCCAAAACCCAACACCCCTAGGAAACCGTTCAGGCTGAGACCATCTTGCAGCTTCCGCAAGATCCAGATTTGGTCGGCGCCGAAGAGAGACTAGGATGCCCGGTAGTACCCTTATTCCCTTTTTGTGGTCCTAGGTTCCTTATAAAGTTACCCAATACCAAAAAGAGAGGCCTTTTTATTCTTAGGTTACTGGGTATCCTAGGAGACCAGCCTTGGCGATGGCGTCTCTGCACGGTCATGTCGAAGTCGTGCGCTTGCTGCTGGAGGCGGGTGCCGACATGAACTTGTCCGACGGCCGTGGCTTTACAGCTTTGACGCTGGCATCTTGGCGAAGTCATATCGAAGTGGTCCGCGTGTTGCTGCAGGCGGGTGCCGACAAAAACTTGGCCCACGGCCGTGGCTCGTTTACAGCTTTGACCGCGGCATCCCGGCGAGATCATGTCGAAGTCGTGCGCGTGCTGCTGGAGGCGCGTGCAGACATAAACTTGGTTGGTGGCAGGGACCGCACAGCGTTGACGACGGCATGTCGGAAAGGGCATGTCGACGTAGTGCGTGTGCTGCTGGAGGCGAGTGCCGACATAAACCTGGCCGACGGCACACGTCGCACAGCTTTGACGGCGGCCTCTGAGGAAGGTCGTGTCGATGTCGTGCGCTTGTTGCTGGAGGCGGGCGCAGACAATACCTTAACCGACGGCTTGGACTACACAGCTTTGACACTCGCATGTTGGCGAGGTCATGTCGACGTGGTGCGTGTGCTGCTGGAGGCAGGTGCCGACAAAAACATGGCCGACGGCTTTGGCCGCACAGCTTTGACGACCTCAGCTGGGCGAGGTCGTGTTGATGTTGTGCGCGTGCTGCTGGAGGCTGGTGCCGATGTACACTTGGCCGACGGCATGCTCAACACAGCTTTGACGAATGCATCCCTGCACGGTCACGTAAACGTCGTGAGAGTGCTGCTGGAGGCGGGTGCGGACATAAACTTGGTCGACAGTACGAGCCGCACAGCTTTGACGATGGCATGTTCGGCTGGTCATATCAAACTCTTGCGCATGCTGCTGGAGGCAGGTGCCGACATGAACTTGTTCGACGGCATCGGCCGCACAGCTTTGACGATGGCATCCACGGCAGGTCATATCGAAGTCGCGCATGTGCTGCTGCAGGCGGGTGCCGACATAAACTTGGCCGACGGCCTAGGCTGCACAGCTTTGATGGCGGCTTCTGAGGGAGGTCGTGTCGATGTTGTGCGCTTGCTGCTGGATGCAGGTGCCGAGATAAACCTGGCTGTTGCCATGGGCCACACAGCTTTGGTCACAGCAGCTCTGCACGGTCATATCGAAGTCACGCGTTTGCTGCTGCAGGCGGGTGCCGACATAAACTTGGCCGACGGCTTTGGCTGCACAGCTTTGACGACCTCAGCTGGGCGAGGTCGTGTTGATGTTGTGCGCGTGCTGCTGGAGGCTGGTGCCGATGTACACTTGGCCGATGGCATGTGCTACACAGCTTTGACGACGGCATCCTTGCACGGTCATGTCGGCGTCGTTCGTTTGCTGCTTGAGGTAGGGGCGGACAAAACTCTGGCGGACGGCAGCAGCTTTACAGCTTTGACGATCGCATCTTGGAGAGGTCATGTCGAAGTCGTGCACATGCTGCTGGAGGCGAGTGCCGACATAAATTTGGCTGATGGCATTGGCCACACAGCTTTGAGGACAGCATCTCGCGAAGGTCATATCGAAGCTGTGCGCGTGCTGCTGGAAGCGGGTGCTGGCAAAAACTTGACAGACAGGCTGGGCCGCACAGCTTTGATGCTGGCATCTGGCGAAGGTCATATCGAAGTCGTTCGCATCTTGCTGGAGGCTGGTGCGGACAAGAACTTGGCCGACCGCTCGGGCCGCACAGCTTTGACGACCGCCTCGGAGCAATGCCATGCTGATGTTGCGTGCCTGCTGCTGGAGGCCGGCGGCGACAAACGCCGACGTCGTTGAAATGAGCATTCACGACCGGATGTGACCAGCCCCTTTTTGTTCATCCTTGCTGCACAGTTTTGACATGGGAGTTTCCGACAATAGGGGACCCTAATATAGTACCTTAAATAGTAGGATCCTTATAAAGACCCCCAAGAAGGTACCCCTAGATTTCGGAAACTCCCACATGGAGTCTGACGAAAGCTCATATCGAAGCCTTGCGCTTGCTTCGGTTTCGCAGCTTGGACTGTCTTCTCGGCAAGGTCGCTGTCCAGAGTTGTTCTCGCTGAAGGAGTTTATGGTTTTATTGTTCAATATCACTTGCATTGATCCGTGGAAAGTCAAGTATTTAACAAGGGCTTGGATGGGTTTGAAGCCTGCCAGCTAGTAGTCAAAAGCATCAAACCATCTTGTTCGAGGTATTTCTCGCAGAGATCATTATTCTCGTGTTGCCTTCAGACTTGTAGTATCAACTCGTACTGAGGAGCTTTGTGCGAGGGTTTGGGCTTCAGGGTGGCGGGCATGCTATGCCTTTGCACTCCACAATCGGCCTTGAATGTTGTGCGCAGTGGGTATGACTTACGCTACCTACTACTCCTAAGACTTAATTACGAGTCAGCAAGTCCCGAAAATCTAAACTCTGACCTTTTTTTTCCAATTCCTAGTCCTTTAATCCTTGGAAGCCTAATTAGATCCGAACACAAAGCCTAAACCCATAAACCCTAAACCTCTAAACTCGACATCCCGCGAAGAGGCTCGCCAAGTGGCACAGGAGAGGAGGCATCTTCTGAGGTTGTCAACAGAGGCGTGAAGTTGCGAGCTGCATGAAGGATTGGGCTTTGTGAGGTGTTTAGGGCCGTTTAGATCCGTTTAGGGGGTCTAGGGTTTAAGAGTGTTCGGCTTAACTTTTCAAGTTTAAATAAAGTTTTTAGGTTTTATGTTTAGACGTGTTTCCCAACGCTGGCTGCTGGGGAGGGAGGGAGGGAGGGAGGGAGGGAGGGAGGGAGGGAGAGAGAGACTTGAGGGTCTGAGCGCGTTTGGCCGGGTTTAGGTGGTGCCGAAAGGCGATCATGTGTGCGTCTGAGGGCAAAAGTCGAGGTTGGGTAGCGGTTCACTCCTGTCTTAGTCTGCGGCCCTTGTAGACCCTATATGGTTTCAAAACATGTTATACAAAATGGAGTGTTTACAACTTTGTCTCACAACCCCAAACGCCACCCACACCAAGGCCTTTTCGTTGGGTTTACGGCTTAAAGCTCAACATGTCGTGACGCGAGCTTCCAGACCAAACCCGTTAAGCTGCATAGATTGTAGGGCATGATTACGCACTTCAGTATATTATAGATGAATACAAGTACATGTTTTCTGTGTGATGGCAGGCAATTCTGCTACCGGAAGCCGACAAGGCCAATGTGTATTACAGGATTGCACGCTTTTCTCATTTGGGAATCCAGGTTGGCCTAGATTGCTTTACGCATCAGTTCGTGTCAAAGTATTCTAACACACAGCCCTGTCATGCGTCCAAACTCTAAACTCCTTATCGTCATAGTCCAGAAATCCTATTTCCAAAAACTCTAAACCCATAAGCCCTGCACCCTTAACCCCCTGATACATGCTGAGCTTTGGCTTGGCGACTTGGGCCCACACAGATTCTAGGTTTCCTTTGAGGTTCGTGTTTGCGTTCTCTAGAGCTTAACTGTGAGGATTCTGTACTTGTGAAGGCTCTATACGGTTTTGGCCAGGGGTTTGGGATTCTGACTTAAAGTAGAAGCCAGGAAGACATATCATCATGACGATTATCCTCATGCCTTACAGGTAACGGTTAACTGTATGGAATCATGGCACCAATCATCCTTAACTCATGCTCCAATATTTCCGGGTTCCCTGTATCAGGGCGCCTTAAACCCTCCAAGCGAAAACTCTGACTCAAACACCTCACCGAACAAAACCTTACATATGAGGTTGGGAATGCAGGGTATGCTTAGACCTCCCTGGCAACCCTAAATTATCTCTTAATGAGAAGTATTCGAGCCCTTTAAAGTGTACTTGGGGGTCCTGGTGAGGGTATGAGGGTTTATTGTGAATCCCAGAAAGTTGGAACATGGGCTTGGGATGATGAGTGCTGGGATCTCCTACTTAAAGGTTCATGGGACTTAGTAACTAGGGTTATAATTAGGGTAGCTATACTTATAACTACTTTTAAGCCCACTTAAGGTACTTATAACCTTACAAGCCTTACTTACTTAGTCCCATGATCCTTTAAGTATACTTTACCTTACCTAGACCCCCAAAGGTAGGTAAAATAATGGCCCAAAACCCATCAAAGGGCTATTATTCTACATACTGTTGGGGTAGGAGGAGAATCATGTTCCAACTTGCTGGCTTCTACTTCAGGAGTTTAGAGTTTGTCGATTTCAAGGCTTTCCTCGCCACTAAGCAGGGCTCAGCCTCCCACGGAGATTTTCACCCCGAGCAAGCAGAACCTCAAACCACTAAACCCTTCATAAACCCTAACCCACTTAATAAGGCAAAGTAACCCAGAGATACACAGAAAGCGTTTGCTGAGGCTCCACGATGCTTTCGACCGATATGTGTTTTTTGCGGCACTTAGACGTATTCGAACATAGTGATGTTCATCGTCGTGTTTCTGTTGTTCGTCGTTGTTGTAGCAGCTGTGATCAGTGGCCTTCCTTGAACTGTTGTTATCGCCAGTTTGATGTGACGGCTCAGAACTCGTTAATCCTATTGCCTTGCAGTTTCGATGATGTTTTTAATCGTGTGCTTGCTTAATGAGTCATGTATGAGAATTGGTTTTCTCCCTTTGCAAGCAGGGTGTGTATCCAATGCATCATCATTGTTTCACTCCTAGATATGTGAACACCCCCTGGAGCCCTAACCCCGCATCCTGAACCCTAAACCCTAAATCTTAACCCCGCATCCTGAACCCGAAACCTCAGCTCTGTTGCAGAAATTGGTTGCTGGAGTTGCGGCGCCCTTGCTGAGGAGCCCTGGATGGTTGGAGCAAGTTCGAATTTCCCTTATCGCTCTGGTGGCGAATGTTTAGCAGTTTAGGGTGTTTGCGCCCAAAGACTTTACCATGCTAGGAGAGTTATTGTGGCAGTTTGAGCCGTAGCATGGCAGCTGAGCGTTTGAGACCTGGTCTTCGTGCATCCGGGTTTACGCATCCGTGTTTGAGGATGAGGCTTGGGGACTGTTAAGGGTCAGGGCTAAACCCTAAACCTTGTAGCCGTGGCTATTATGACCTGCTGCCTGGCTGACGCCCGCCCTGGTAGTCGTCGTCACATTCCTCGTAGTCGTAGTCGTACACTCGTAGTCGCAGTCGTACTACGCAGTCGTCGTCTCCTTGGTCAGCGATGAACCGGCGATTGATGTGAGCAGGCACAGATACATGGTGTAAGCGTCATTTTCGGTGTGGGAGCATATTTACCGGCGCAAAGCTTTCCCCAAATACCAAATGTCGAACCCCCTCAAAATCAAAACTCACATCATAAGATGACGCACCTAAGCGCTAAGTCGTAAAACCTAATAACTTCAACCTCGGCCCCTTGCCTTAACCCAACACCCTAACACCTAAGACCCACACACGCGCTCTCTCTCTCTCTCTCTCTCTCTCTCTCTCTCTCGCTGTGGCACGCGCTCTAAACAGAATCACCAAGTTACCAAAACAACTCTGAATCCCGTGTAGAATCCCGAACAAAAGCCGAATGCAGGAGCCCGTGATATGAGGCCTCTGTGAAGTATCACAGACAGACCTGGCAGGATCGAGGCAGCCCTGCCCAAGGTGAAAGCCGAAGAGGTTGCTCACCAGGCCTGTTATGGCCAGGACCCCCCAATGGCGCTTTGATGGAGCTTTCATGGTCCTTGATAGTGTGTATATTAGAGGGTATTTGGGGGGTCTAGGGGCGGCTTCGGGTTTGTGGATTTGGGTTATAGTGGGTTTAGGATTTGGAGCTTCGTGCAGGGTTTCGGGTTTATAGTATCGGGGGTTATACCCAAAGGGTCCTTTGTACTGTTATGGGGGGATACTTCCCCAAATCACAATAGCAATTCCTAATTTATAGAAACCCTACACCCCTAAACCCTAAACCCTAAACCCTAAACCCTAAACCCCTAAACCCTAAACCCTAAACCCTAAACCCTAAACCCACTCTACCATACAGGTGCTTTGGACCCTTTGGGATAGGATGTAGACTTGTGAGTTTCGGTGCTACGGCTTTAGAGTTGTAGGGCTCAGGGCTTTATGGGAGTTTCCGAAAATGGGGGACCCTTGTAGAGTACCCTGAATAGTTGGATCCTTGTCACAAGGACCCCAACACAAGGTACTCCAAGTAGGCGCTAAAACCTATACCGTTACAGAACCCCACCCTATAGATCCCTTTAAAGGGACCCTTAAAGGAACCCTCATAACTGCCCATGAACCTCCAAGTAGGGTTTACGGTTTGAAGTTATAGGTTTGAGGGAAGCCCTTAGGACCCTGAACCATAAGGGAGTTTCCGAATGCAGGGGTACAATTATAACCCATATGAAGGGACTTATAACTCTACTTATAACCACCACGTTTACCAGGACCCCCCAAGTACCCTTTAATGGAGCCCTTATGGTCCTTAATAGGGGTACATTAGGGGGTAGTTAGGGGGGTCTAGGTAGAGTCTCGGGTTTTGGCTGTAGGGTGGACGATTTCATGTTCAGGGATTAATCTCTGAACCTTTAGCCTAAGGGTGAAAAGCCTCCTATATCCTGGCCTTAAGCCCCTCAGAGCCTTGATCAGGGTTTGGGCTTTCAGGTATAGGGGTTTAGAGTTTAGGGTTCAGGCTTTTGATTCTCATTCGTAAGGTGGCATAGGTGTTTAGACGGGTTTGAAACGGGCTTTTTGTCTTTCAAGGGCCCTGACACTGCCTGCATATCAGGGTCGCCTTGTCTGTGTGAAACTCGCGGATTGCTCCCGGTAGCCTGCATCTGCCATGTTTATAGAGGGGTTCTCGAAATTTGTGTCTCTGCTTGGGTCCCAAAAAATGTATGTCACTCCTGTGACAAGGAGATTTGACATACAAGGCCTTAACTTGAAATCCCGCTAACCTTTCATCAAGGAGTCAAGGAGCCCTTATTGAAGTAGCCCTTGAAAGAACCAGTCCTAAACCGTAAACCCTAAACCTACTTAAAGGATCATGGGACTTAGGAACTAGGGTTATAATTAAACCATACTTGTGACTACTTATAACCCCAATTGAAGTACTTATAGCCTTACTTACTAAGTCCCGTGATCCTTCAAGTAAACCCTGAACCCTGAACCCTGAACCCTACACAAGAAGAACGCCAGGGCTCCGTGCAGAGGAAGGAGGTGTCTGGCACCCAGTCTGGGCGCCGCACGCTGGACACTTGTGAATGTTCGATTCGGCTTTGGGATCTTGCAAGGGGTGTAGGGTTTTAGGGTTTAGGGTAAAGTTTAAGGGGTGTAGGGTTTTAGGGTTTAGGGTTTAGGGATTTATTTAGTGTACAATTTGGGAGTTTTTGAGGTGTAGTAGTAGTAGTAGTAGTAGTAGTAGTAGCAGTAGTAGTAGTAGCAGTAGCAGTAGCAGTAGCAGTAGCAGTAGCAGTAGCAGTGGCAGTGGCAGCAGCAGTAGCAGTAGCAGTAGCAGTGGCAGTAGGAGTAGGAGTAGGAGTAGGAGTAGGAGTAGGAGTAGGAGTAGGAGTAGGAGTAGGAGTAGGGGTAGGAGTAGGAGTAGGAGTAGGAGTAGGAGTAGGAGTAGGAGTAGGAGTAGTAGTAGTAGTAGTAGTAGTAGTAGTAGTAGTAGTAGTAGTAGTAGTAGTAGTAGTAGTAATAGTAGTAGTAGTAGTAGTAGTATTACGGGACTTTGGGCATTAGAGCTGTGGGACTTTAGTTTAGGGTTTCGTCGGGTGACTAGCAGGGTCTTTGTTTTGTTTAAAGTTTAAGGACTGTACATGGGTTTGTTCTTAAAGTTTATTGATTCCCATGTTAGGTGGAGGCTGGTAGCCGGCTTACCGAGTCTTATGCCGCCTGTACCTCGTCGCATCATGGCAATCAACTTGATTCAACTCGCCAGTGAAGAGACTCTACTCGGAGGGGCAGGGGACTTAGTAAGTAAAGTTACAAGTACCTTAATCGGCGTTATAAGTAGTTATAAGATGTCATAAGTATAGTTACCCTAATTATAACCCTAGTTCCTAAGTCCCATGATCCTTTAAGTATCCAGAAGCCTGGCATCCTAAGATCTCTTGCCGTAAACTGACAACTCGAGGGGCTCAGCCTGAAGTTAGTACTAAGACTGTAGGGGCCGAAATAGCTACCATCACATACCAAGACTAATTTGGGGTCCTTAGTATGTTGTGGTATGTGATTATACTTCAAGACCCTTTTCTGATCAGTAAGGCCCTGACATTATACAAATGCGGTGGCTTCACAAGCCCAAACGCTAACCCTGACAGCAGGCATCATTTACTGGTGTCAGGATTCAGGCTGTCAGCATTTGTGCCTGCTTTAGATTTGGAGATGCGGCACACCCCGCAAAGGCATTATGAGTTATGAGCCCCTAGGCCTGAGGTACTGCTGCGTGCAGCCCCGTGCAACCATACTACCAAGAAAGTGTGGACGCCTAAATCCAAGCCGGAAACCACATGGCCAAACCCGGATGCCAAAAACCTAATTCCCAAACCCTGAACCTTGAACCGTAAATCCGCAAACCTAAATCCCAAATGCCGCGCCCCGGAACCCGACCATGAGGTTGCCAAGTCGGCCACTGCGGGCAGACCACGCAGGAAGTTCAGCTGCAATGCTTCCAAGGGTCCCAGGTATCTACATTTAGGGTTTCGGCTTTCGGATCGAATAAAGAGGCTTTCTATGGTAGGAATTTCTATTTTGGTTTGGACAAGTATCCCCAAAGGTTACTCAAGCCCTTACGGCCAGTCCCTCTCAAACCCTTCAGCCGTGACCTCAAGCCCCAGGCCCCGACCCTAGAGCTAAGCCCTTACCCAAAGGGTCCTTTGTACTGTTTTGGGGGATACTTCCCCGAATCATAATAGCAATTCCTAATATAGAAACCCTACATTCTACCATAGAGGTACTTTGGACCCTTTGGGTTAGTGTTTTTCAAACCCGAAGGTTTGGGCCCAGCATAGACTGTGTTGCGCAGGATCAGAGGATGTAAAGCATGGTTTAGACAGCAGCAAGCTTACAACAAGTGTATGCCAAGGAAGACTCTTATAGCACCTCGAGTGTCCTGCTTGCATGGTCTCCTGACCCTGCAGGTAAACCCCGCGTCCCGAGCCCTACCAATGACAAGTATTTTGTTGATATATTTATCAGGTTTTGATGCTGGAGGATCCGTAGCCCAAGAAGCCTCATCCTCAAGCCCCCACTACCGTAATGTCGAACCAAGAACCTTAAATACACAGCCTTCATTACTGCTGTACACCCTCAGAGTTAAGCCCAACCTTAAAACCCGACGCATGAAGCCCCAACCCCGGAACTACGCTGAGCCCAAAACCTTCACCCTCCACCCCCAAAACTCTAAACCTGAGACCCTTTACCTTCTTGTGGAGCCCTTCAACGGGAGGCCTTGAAATAACCGTTCTGAAATTTATGGGAGTCTTCAAATAGGGGACCCAATATAGTACCCTAACTAGTAGGATCCTCAGTATAAGGACCCCAAAATAAGGTAACCTTCGGAAACTCCATACCCTTATTACAGGCCTTGGAAGGAACCCGTATTATTGTACCCTTATAGTAGCCCTTCAAGGAAACCGTAAGGTACCTCCTACTCTTCGGAAGCTCCCTTATTGAGGGCGCATCATGAATCCCTAAACCCTAAACTCCTAAGCCCTAAACCCAAAACCCTAAACCCCTAAACCCCTAAACCCCTAAACCTTAAACCCCTAAACTCTAATCCCTAATCCTGTGAAAGGTGCTGCATCTCCCGCCACAGAATTGCCTCAGCGAAGTTACAGCTGGCACGGATGCCCAGAGGATGCTTGGGGTTTAGTGGTTTAGGGTTTAGGGCTTGGGGTTTAGGGGTTTAGGGTTTAAGGTTATACCACGAAGACCGTTATACTAATCATCACTGCTACTAAATTACTACTGCGACGACGACCACTGTTACGCCTACGATCCCTATGATGCTTTGCGGTTTCATGGTTTTCGGTATGGAGGGTTGTGGGCCTGCTAAACCCTGCAAGCAGTAGATCCTAAGTTTGAACCTTAAGCCCTAGAGCTTAGAGTTTCAGGATTTAGGGTTCAGTTTCATCCAGTGTTCAAGCTTTAGCAGCTTTGGGCTCCAGGGTTTTAGATTGCACAGGGCCTACTAAGAGGTTCATGGGTAGTTGTAAGTGACAGTGGGTGTTATAAGTAGGTCAACTATACTCGTGACCCATATCAGGGGACGTATAATCCCACTTCTAGATTCTAGATACCCATGAACCTCCAAGTAGACGCTAAATCCTAAATCCTGAAAGGAACCCTTACTATCCATGAACGTTCAAGTAAGGAGCATAGACGCTAAACCCTATACCGATACCCCTGAACCCCTAAACACTCAGCCCTACTGTTGATGGACAAAATCCTGCATGACCCTAAGAACTCTAAACTATGGGAACTATTACTTATAATGGGTAATGCAGGGTTTTGTCCATCAGCAATATGACCCTAAACCCCTGAGCCTTCAAGTAAGGCTGATATACCCTATACCCGATACCCCTAAACCCTACTATAGATCCCTTATAGAACCACCCTAAACCCTAAACCCTTAAGGATCCTTTTAAAGGAACCCTTATTCTAATTATTAGGCCCTATACCTATTGCCCTAAACCCCTGAGCCTTCAAGTAAGGCTCCCCACCTTAAATCCTAAATCCCTAAACCCCTAAATCCCTAAGCCCTAAACCCCTTTAAAGGAACCCTATAGATCCCCTAGAGATCCCTTTAAAGGGAATCCCTAGAGATCCCTTTAAGGCTTCCCACCTCGAGCAAGCTCTGCTCCTAGGCTCCCTACGGTGACAGACCTGCCCATTATCGACATCGACGATGTGCGCCGGTTTACCCTATCCCTCCAGGGACCTTATTATGGGGTCCTTAAGGGGTCTAGGGCCCTAACTATGAGGTCCTTGGAGGGATAGGGTTATAGGGTTTAGGACTTTGGGGTTTAGGGTTTAGGGTGTACCTGGAGCCCAACAGTATGTAGAATAATAGCTTTTTGTAGATTTTTGGCCATTATTTTACCTACTTTTGGGGGTTGAGGGTTTAGGGTTTACGGGTTTAGGTTGTAGGGTATGGGACGAAGAGTTTCGGGTTGGGGTCTCGGGTTTGGACGTAGTTTAGGGGCCTGAGCAGTTACAAAGAATATTTTGTCCCCAGAAATTCGTTAGATAACTATGAAAGAAACCGCTTTCAGCAACTCGTTATGATAGCTGTGGGGTTGTGGGTCAGATCCTCTCGGGGTTGCTGTTGAATATGCCGTTTTTGCATGCCTGCATGTGCGTCTGTGTGCGTGCATGTGAGTTTGAGTGTAAGGGCAGTGTGTGAGAGTGAGTGAGGGACTGGGTCAGTGAGGGAGGGAGTCAGTGTGCCTGTGTCTGTGTCTGCCTTAAACAGGGATTGGCAGAACCTTTAGGGGCACTAGCATAGTCCTTATCACACCTAGGATCCTTGTCATAATGAGAACATCTCGAGAAAGGGGTCCTCAACGCGAGGAGTCTAGGGTTTGGGGACCCTAAACCCCGAAACCCCGAACCCTAAGCAGGGAGGCCTCCACCCTTAAACCCGAAGCCCTAGCCCTAAACCCTAATATAGGGGGATACATAATTTCCAACACTATTTTGGGTTTTCTTATCATATGTAAAAATTAAATGGGCTCCAAATCCTGCTCTAATTATTAAAGCCCCTCCGGTACACATTGAACCTTGAAGCCCTAATCCTTAGCCTCGATCGTCGAATAGTCGAATTATCACTAAGCCTCCAGGTATATTCCAAACCCTAAGCCAGCCGGAAGCCTGAAACCCCACCTAAAGCATGAACCTGAAACAGACAATGATGTAGACTCCTGATCAACAGACCGCTCTTGAAATTAAAGGTCCTAAAATAGGATCCCGACTATTATCGTTCTTGAGGGCGAGGGTTGATCAACCGGGGTGTACATTGCGCATAGAAGCCTAAACCCCTAGACCCTTAACCCTTACTAATACCACCCTTATTGGAATTTTGGCCTAGTGGGCACCGAAACCCTATTCTAATTATTCAGGCCCCTTTATGAACCCTAAACCCCTAGACCCCCTAGACCCTAAACCCCAAAGCCCCTAGACTCCTTAGACCCTGAACCCCTAGACTCCCTAGACCCTCAGCCGCTTAAGCACATATTCATAAACCCTAAGCCCCTAGACTCCCTAGACCCTAAACCCCTAGACACCCACGACCCTAAGCCGCTCAAGCACGTATAGTCCGTGCCCCGAGGAGTTTGGAGACTGGACCGAGCTTGGCTGCTCGCCCCCAAGGCCCTGGGCTGTGCGGTTCAGAGCTTTCGGGGTTTAGGGTTTAGGGTTCAGGGTTCTTGCTGTGGGATTTTGGGGGAGCTGAGACGGTTTTTGATTGTCTTGGAGTTTAGGGGTTGTTTGGTTTCGTGAGGTATGCATTGTGTTTAGATATCAGCCTTTTTTGAAAGGTTTTGGAACCGAAGGCTTGATTATGTTCATGTCAGTCTCCCAAACTACAGCAATCCCTTAGCACAGGAGCTTGGTACGAGTGCTGTAGGGATTTACAAAAGTGAGCATTCACACCCTGGTGTCTTTATTTCCGTTCTGTGTTTTGCTGGCAGCAGAATAGTATAGACATCGGACATGTAGAAGCACGTAGACATGCTGAGGGATCATCTCTAGGTTTTGAGCATGGAGGGATCTTTGCCGTTGTGGCAAATCTTACATGCAGGCAAAGCAGGAAGCGGAGAGTAAATAGAAATTGACCCCAGTACTTCTTGCCAGCCCTAGACACCCTCGACCCTGAACCCCAAAAGCTCCATGTCAAGGCGATGCGTAAGCCATGTACAACATAAACCTGAATCCAGCTTTTCCCATCGTGAGTCTCACATACGGTCTCATAGGTGGGCTGATGAATTGGTGAGCATCCTAGTGGCATCTCTTCTAGAGCCCAACAACAGCTCTCAGAGATCATTCCATCCATTCCCACCGCTCGTACGTCCAGAACTTAAGCCGCAAACCTTACAACCCCTACGTAGACCGTGTTTAAACCCCGAATCTTAACGTCTTAACCGTCCAAAACCCCTCAACCCCAAACCCTAAACCTTGAGCCCCAAAAACCCTAGACCTTCAACCCCAAGCCTTAAGCCCAAATTCCTTAAGAGGCCCTTAGCAAAAGTCACACTATTAAAGCCTCAACCGTAAGGGGACCCTTTGGGTTTTGCAAGCCGCCGTCCTGGCTCGAACCAGCGACCCGGGGCGGCGAGACGTCGAACGAAGCTCCACCCTGAGCGGTTGACGGTTTAGGGCATACCCAAAAGGCCCCAAAGTAGTTCTTTTGGGGGGTTCATATATAGGAACCTATGAGGTACTACGGGGCCATGGGTAATAGGGTATCGGGTTTGATAGGTTTAGGGTATTGGGGTTTACGGGGTGTAGGGTTGCCTTTGCACTGCTACCGCTGACAATCGGAGGTTTCCGGGGGGGGGGGGGAACCCTAACCCTAAGCCCTAAACCTTATAAGCCCTAACTCTAAACCCTAAACCCTAAACCCTAAGGGGCCTGCTTGCGTTGGGTTCAGAGTGTCCTCTGTCTGGGGTCGGTGTCAGAGGGTTTGGGGATGAGTTTCCCTTCTTGGAGGGTCGGGGGACTTAGTAAGTAGGTAGTAAGTAGACGTATAAGTACCCTAAACGGGACCTTAATTGGGGTTATGGTACTTATAAGTTATAAGTCCCTAAAATAACCAGTTACTGAGTCCACCAACCCTCCAAGTTGGCGAGCCCTGGAGCTCCAGCTACCTAAATAGTAGGTTACTAGGCATATATTCCCTAAGACTCCAAGTATACAAATACTACCTACTTGGGGCTCTAAAGTCTATAAATGGTACCTACTTTGGGCTATTTGGAGCCTTAGGGATTATGTACCCCAGTAACCTACTATTTAGGTAACTGGAGCCCTAGAGAAGCTTACGACGGTGACTGAGGTTGCCGGCTGCCATGGCGCCCACAGAGGTGGACCCGCTGGCGGTAGCCAGGCCCGCATCGGGTTCCCTTGTTGTATGGATGCTCCTAAACCCTATACAGTAAAAGCCAGAAAGTTGGAATATACTTATCCTAATATCCTAAACCCTTTATGGTAAATTATAGGGTATCCTACGCTGAAACCATATTCCAACTTTCTGGAGTTCCCTTTATAGATGCTCGTAGATATGCAAGGTTTAGGACCCTGGATCCTCAGAGTCAGGACTTCGCTATGTACGTCTGTGTCTGGGTCCTTCATCTTCTCATATTTAGTTGCCCCCCAACCCTAAACCCTGAACCCTAAATCCTAAACCCTAAACTCTAAACCTCTGTTAATAGTGACCTGTATTAGTGCAGGCCGGAAACCGGCTGGACCTCATGCAGAAAAGGCCCCATTGCACTTAAAAAAAAAAAAGAACCTCAGTTAGGGATTGCCAGGACCCCTCGACGTACCCAGAGACCACAAGACCCCGTAATCGAGCAACGCACCTTAGGCTGTTGTAGAGTTCTTATCAGAGCAGTACCCAAGGCTTCCAGGGACCTTATTATTGGGTCCTTAAGGGGTGTGGGGCCCTAACTATCAGGTCCTTGGAGGCATAGGGGTAGAGCTTACGTGGTAGGAGCTCCTTGTCATTTTTGGCAAATATGCGGTGCTCATCCCAGGGTTTTGGAATTTCTGGGTACCCTCACGGAGGCTCTACCCCTGAGCGTCCGAGTTCTAGGTACCAAAACCATTCAGACTACAGTATGCCCGGGATCTGTCCATAACTTCCCACAGCGCACACATGGCAGTGATCCCAAACTACCCGAAGGCCTCAAAGTAGTTCATTTTTGGGGTTCGTATATAGGATCCTATAAGGTAATCCCAAAAAGGAACTACCATGGGGCCTATGGGTAGCTTAGCCTTTTCAGTAGGGCTTTGTGCTGTGTTGCGCTCTGGTATGAGGGGTTCATTGAAGCTGCCTCTGGGGCGGGTCCGGAAGCTTTAGGGCTTAGGGGTTTAGGGGTTTTAGGGTTTATAGGGGTTCAGCAGTTCTGTCGACCTTTCCCCCCTTCCAAACTGGACGGGAAAGGGCTCTTGATAGGACGCTTTGAACCTGCTCCGACGCTTCAGAATAAGTGTCGACTCCCGGTATCGCCGAACAAACACGAACGAAACCTTTATACCTGAACAAACTACTAAGGGGCCACGGGATCACATACTTTGGCCGTGTAAAGCAGAGGTATTCTAGGGCCAAAGTATACCTGAAAACTCGGGGGAAAGACGCCTGCAACCGCAAGTCGTAAGACGCAAGGCCCCAAACGTCGACGCCCACATCTGTCGAAGGTTGCTGCTTAACCTGGAACTTCTTGTCTGGGTCCTGAACCCTACCCAAAAGCCCCAAAGTAGTTGCATTTGGCGGTTCATATATAGAATCCGAAATAGTAATCCCAAAAAGGAACTACTAATGGGGCCTACGGGTAAACAACCCTATGTCCAATCACCCTATGAACCACAAACTACGCACTTCTGACTCCGCAGGGCAATGCTCAATACCGAGCCGGAGAACAAGGCCGAGGTGGGAATAGGATTCAAAAGCTTGGGGCCTCCTCCAGCGTAGATTCCGATGCTCACTCCGATGCTCATAACCCTAGGCATCTAAGGACTCATACATTAAGGCTTTTGGGCCCAAAGACCATCATATATAATGCTTTTCGGCTATTTTGATGCCCAGGGTAAGGGTGATGTTTACTGTAATGGTTTTCTGTAAGGGTTACCACAAGGGCCGTTATTGCAGGACGTGCTTTGAGATGTTGTATCCTGCTCTACCGTTTTGCGACTGCATTCTCGCTCTGCCGTGAGCATCACAAGTATTGCTTGGCTTGCTGGCCCACAGTGGCTTGCACGAACATTAGGATGACCATGCCTTTCGAAACTCCCACCTATGACTAATGTCACTCTCAGAAGGTGCTACAGTGTCTATTCCGAAGCTTGGTTTTGTGGCAGTAACATTTTTGGTCCACCACATATGACTTATAAGTCCAAGTGTTTTACCTCAGAGGGCAGATCCGAGAGCTTACAGCCGGGTTCATGGTTTAGGAAGGTTGAGGGGTTTCTGGCCCTCGCAGACGTTTCAGACCTTGTGCTGCCCTATAACATACTTCGGTCTGGGCGGAGGGTGTGGTTTAGGATTTGGGGTTGTGGGTTCAGGGTCCCTGCCAAGCACAAGCAAGTTTTGGTTTCAGTTGGCATTACTATTACTTACTGTCGGAGATCGCCACGTGTAAAGTTTCAGAAATTGAGGGACTCCACTATAGACCGGAAGTACTTGGATCCGGAAAAGATAGGCGCAGGAAAGGGGACGCCATGGAGACACCAAAGTACACCCCCTATGTAGGGTACTGGATCTTAAACCCTGACAATGTACACATATGTATGTATGTATGCATGTATGCATGTACGTATGCATGTATGTATTTGCGTCTATAATATGTACTCATAGAAAGGTTCAGGATTTAGGTTATAGGGCTACAGTAAGGTTGTTTGGGAGCTAGCCTGCGCACAGGAGGCGATGCGGATCGCCATGATGTCGCTGTGCTCGTTCATTTGTGTGTTTAGGTTTCAGGTCTTTGGGCTTAGGGTTTACGCTTCCGGGTTTAGGCTTCCGGGTTTAGGTTCCGAGTTTTTGGCTTGAAGGCTTTATAGGGGTTAAGCAGAGTTTAGGGGCCATAAGGGTTACGGGGTTCAGGAACCTGAGTTTGTGTACTTAAAGGATCATGGGACTTAGTATTTAGGGTTATAATTGGCGTAACTATACTTATAACTACTTAAAACTCCAGTTAAGGTACTTATAACCTTACTCTAAGTCCCATGGTCCTCCAAGTAGAGTTGTTGCACCCAATGGCCTTGCCCTCGAGGGCTTCCACGCAAGTCTTTACCTTAATAACTAGGGGTCCTTGTGATAGTTATAGTATACTGGGCCCCAAAACCCCATTCTAATTATGAAGGCCCCGATATTACCTACCCCCCGCCCCCCCAGAGTGGAAATACTGGCCCAACACGGACAAAAGGCTATTGATGGACATACTTGGGGGAACCAGCTAGGGAAAATGAGCTTGTAGACTTACAGGGTTTCGGCCGCCCAGGTCAGGTGGTTTTGATGACTCCCTTATTAAGATCCAAGAGGTTCTGTTTCGGGGGTACTTCTCGAGAGATCCATACGGCTGTGCGAATCGGTAGTCGGTAAGGCTTAGAGCTGTAAGTTTGCACTATCTGTAACGAGTTTGTGCCACGTCATGTGT